GAAGAAGGCCCCACTTCTGCCCCGATAAGAATCGGTTACATCCTTCGGAAAATAAATAAATAAACAAATAAATAACATCCAGTGTGGCTCTGATTGGATTAAAGGGAGAGGGGAAGGGCAAGACGAGCCACCGTGAGGTATGGCCTAACAAATTGGAGCCAACAGTCGGGCCAGAGAGTCCATTTTGGGGCATAATTTACACAGTGAGGAGCATGAGCCGAATCTAATGTCATTTCCATCAATTTTGCATTTTGGCCCTTCCCCCTCCCTCCCCCGGGCTTTTAGCGGTCGTTTGAATCGTCTGGCGGAGGACAGCCGGCGAGCATTACAATGTCGGAGACGTCATTTAGCACGACAGCCGAGCGAGAGGTGGTTCTTTATGGCGTGGTGACTGGCTGCACGACGGCAGCGTGCGGCCATCCAGCAAATGGCTAACAATATGCTAATGAGGGCCAGAGTAGGGAAAGGGCCCCAGACAAGCCACTTAATGGATGTTTTATCTGCAGGTCAAGAGTCTCATCAGCCGCAGTCTGTCCCGACGAGACGTGCCAAGTCAAATTTAGCGATAAAGCGCTTTTAACAAACCGGCCACAAAGTGCTTCGGGGAAGACGAAGGACACCAGACGACCACACGAGAGTTTGTGCTGAAATGTGCAACCTGTTGGCAAACGACGGGGGAAATCTGTTTTCAGAAGGGAAATGCACCTTGAAGGCAAAGATGCACGAGGACAAGCAGAGACGACAGGACTTCCTGACAGAGCTCGAGCTAAATTCACTTCCCGCCCACAAACGGTGGGATTTCTGCTCAAGTAAAAAAAGATTTTTGGGTTTTAAGACCAAATGTAGTCTGACGTTCAGGCTGCTGTCAGATTACTTCTGGTATTTGTTGGACCCTTTTTTAGTAATGCCATTAAGGAATAACCCCAAATCAGATGTGAAACAAAGAAGTACTGCACTGTATTGAGGTACTTTACTGGAGTTTTTCTATTTTTTGCTGCTTTATATACTCCACTACATCTGAGAGGGAAATATTGAACATTTTATAGGACCACATTTATCTGACAGCTGTAGTTATTTTCCAAAAATCTACTTAACATACAAAACATTGGCAACACTTGTAGTATACAGAACAAAGTTAGTGTAAGACCAACGGGTTTGTGTTTGTCCTTCATTAGACAAAATATTTGGACCTCTTCAGACTTTATTTAGGTCAAGTTCAGAAACCTTCACTGTGTTCATACAAAACAGGAGACACATTTACTGGTAGTAAGTGGTCATCAGTTTTTATATGAATATATACGTATATAAATTTGTGTTATTTATGTCTGCGCCTCCAAAACCCAAGTGGAACATCCTTGTTTTAAGATAATTGATGCAGGTGGACTTAATGAGGTCGATGCAATCTGCTCCAGGTGCTTTTGAGTGTGTGAGCACGTAAAGACCGGTGTCATGAATCTAAACTTTTGGTTAAATTGGGCATTTAGTATTGGAAGCACACTTAATTACTAACTCTCTCAGTATAGCAGCTCCTCTGTGTCTGTTTAAGTGAAGAAAATAGTCACTGCAAGTATGTGGTGCTGCTGCTTATACTTTTATACTATACCCTAAATTAGATTTATGTATAGATTATTAAAATCAAACAACTCTATGCACTACAACAAACAATTTGAGCTCTTCAGCTAATGCTAATGTTTTGTTTGAGAATCAATTGAATCACAAACATATTTCGTACGTGTGTTTGACAGGAGTGAGTCGGAGGATTCCGTCGGCCAGAAGATGCTGTAAAAGTTTTCACTGTCGGACACAGCCGAGAAAATTCACTTTACATGTTTTATAAAAGATTACCTCTGACACACAAGTCTACATTATGGCCTGACTTCCACCTGGGATATTAAGGACATTATTTTGCTCAGACTGCAGCTGCCAAAATCCATTTGCGGATTACAAGATGCAAATCTCAGTCAAAGAGGAAGACTGCTCAGGGCTGAAAAAAGTACTTCAACTTCCTCTGCAGGTTATTTAGGTTTTAAAAAAAACAAATGTACAATTTTGGGGCCAACCCCAAACCCAGGTTGAAGAACCTCTGACTTCAGTACTCCCCCTTCTAAAACCAAACGTACGCCTTTGTGATGACGTAAAGTCAAAAACGAATCTCTCAGATTTTTTTATCGTTTACTTGTGATCAAGAGCCGGAAATGTTACAGTTGAAAAGTCACAGACTGTATTTAAGAAGTGGACGTAGTCACCACGACGTCACCCATCGGTTTGTGAATTGCAGTTTTGATGCCTCAAGTTCTGCATTTTGGCCGTCGCCATCTTGTTTTTTTGCAACCAGAAGTGACAGCGGAGGGTGGAGCTAAAAACAACTGAAAGGTGATTGAAAGTGTTAAACTTAACTTCAAACTATAGTTGAAGATCGATTTTCCACAATCAGATTAATCGTTCCAGCTTTGCATTAAATACATTTTTTTGCTCTCTGGTGAACAAACTATGTAATGATGACACTAAGTGCATTTTCATCCACCTGTTTTCATGCACATTTTAAATTTCCGTATTTCCGTGACGATAAAAACAAAATTTAAAATATCTCTCAAGCTTCCAATGGGAGAGACGAAAACATCAGATCCTTGTGGAGCGATGAGAAGAGAATATGGAACAGAAATATTGTATTTCCATCATGTTTTCCTAAATGGATTTGCATCACTTGAGGTTTGATTGATGTGACTCTTTTGATTACGTCATCTCGTTGCACCCTCTTCCTCTTCCTCTTCCTCTGCAGTGGTTTGACGGCACCCGACTGGAGAATTTTGTTCCTCTTGATGCACCCAACGCCTAATATTCACATACCAGTAGTGGATGGAAACATGCAATAATTAGCATTTTCTTTTGCTGATTTTCTGTTTCTTAATAATCTGAAGCATGTCTTCAGCAGTTATGTTACTTATTGGTTGACCACACAGTATAAAATATGTGTGATCAACCAATAATATCTCGTCTAAAAGCTCATTCGGGGCCCTTTTACTGAAAGCGTGCTGCTGCAGTGCATCGCCGTCCCGTCCTCACAGGTGTCACTCTCTCTGTCTCTCGTCCCCCGTCTCCTCTCTGTGTTCATTTAATAAAGTCGGTGTGTCTCCGTGGCATGTGTCCAGCCCAACTGCTGCCTCCCCAAAGACAACGAGGCCTGATAGCAGGGAAACAGGAGGGAGCCGTCTGCATAATAAGGACTTATTATGATGATGAAATGTCCTACAAGGCCTCAAACACCCTCTTAAAGAAATCTCTCCCTCTGATAAGGGGAGTCTAACCCCACGGAGGGAGGGATTGGGGGGTGGGGGGGTCCTAACCTGATTGGATCGGCGGCCCGGAGGGGGCGCGCATAACGAAATCAAACGGCCGTCAAGCCGCTGTCATGCATAATTAATTGGGCCTTCTACGACCAACTACACAGAAATCCATGGTCATTTGATTAGGGGGTTTTGGAGGACTCTCTGAAGTGCATCGCTGTCTGAGCCGCTTCCCTGCTCACCTCTCTATCAGTGAGGAACAGAGTGTCAGAGCCCGCTGCAGGTTTAGCTTCTAACATCCAGCCGGGGGAACAAAATTCAAACTCTCATTAAGGTGCTTTTAAAACTCAAGGACATAATACTTCATGGAGTCGAGTGCAAAATGTGTGGCCTATGTTCTGCTGAAAGTCACTACGACCCATAGATACAAAAGACACCTGACAGTTCTCAGCAGGTGAAGACAATGAGACATCCCCCTCCACCGTTTTTCTACCACTTAGCTGCCCTCGAGCAAGGCACTCACCCGTGCAGTGAGACGGTATTGCGTTTCTAAGAACACTAAGTCTATGGCGGTGCTTCGTAGGCACAGTGGTGCTTTCAGCTAAATGTTAAAATTAGCATGCCAACATGCTCACAATGACAATGCTGACATGCTGATTTTTTTAGCAGGCCTCGTTCACCACGTTCACCATCTTCAGACCTTTACAAAGCAAAACTGTTTGAAAGAATATATTGATGTGCTAAGTGTTAAAGCATTTTCAGGTTGATACTGAAGCACATCATTTTTCGACAATTACTTCTCATCTCGTGAGGCAAGAACCTGGAAGTCATTACAGGGAGTAAAAAAGTATAAAATAAAGAGCCACAATTGTACATAACACGCTACGACGTTGTAATGGAAACTTAATATGTCGAGCTTAATAATTCACACTCAACCATTTACCGGGTGACGTCAGTGAAGTCCCTGAAGGTTCCGGGTTTGAGGGTTTAGGGGGGACATCGGGATTATGCCGTAGTTCTCCAGCCGTGGATGGAGCTACTCGGGTGGTGGGCGGTATTTTCTAATGAGCCTGCATGTGACATAGGAAGGGAAGTCAGATCCTAATGGCTTGTTGAATCAACAGGAACTCCAGATTCCCAAATGTATGTGAACAAGCACTAAAAAAAGTTAGCTTTCTTATATGTCCAATTAAACATGCTAATATTACATAACACAATTAGCATTGGTTGATGGGAATATCATTTGTTTTGCAGGTATTTGGTCATGAACCAACATTTACTATCTCTCGAAGCTTTGAGACAGAATGTATAACTATGCATGATAGAAGTTAAATTAACAGTCTGTTTCCTGAAGTTACTATTATTTTATATCACTTAACTTGAGTTGTCTTTTCATTTCTTTTGTGAAACATTTTTGTTGACATTAATCATTATATTTGTATACCATGTAACATTTACATGTAAAAAAATTATAGGACAAATAGGACATGACAAAAAATATGGACCTAAGAAAATATTTCAGTTTGGAGTTTATGTAAAAGCAGAAGTTAAGATCATCAAATCATGCAAACAATTGTTGCATGAAACGATTTATGAAGGTTCCAGTACAAAGTTCGATCAAACTACTTTGACATGTGTGTGAGCACTGCCACCTGCAGGACAGCAGAGGAACTACAGATACAGTAACAGGAAGTGAAACACAGTTGACGAGTCGAACTGCAGCAAGATTTTTATTAAAAAAAAAAAAGCATATATCCAGGAATTAAAGATGCATATAATTACATGTGTAAATAATGTTCAAATACACAAAGTGGGAAAACAATGTGCTTCAGTAGCTGCAATGTCTTTATGCACATCATGTGCACACATGGAAATGTCTTTAGGGTTGTGGGGTTTTCATGGTTTAAGGAAACATCTCCCCGTTCATCCTGATTTCTTTTTCTTCACATTCCTCATTTAAGTTTCAAAAGCATGACCTCATCACTGTTTAAAATGGAAGACGGCTCCCCCCAGGTTCTCTCACCATCACCACGTATCAATGAATTCATGATCAATGGAAGTAAATAAAGAAGAAATAAACAGACTATCACTGCTGAAGCACTTGATCCATTAACACATCGTGGGATTAACTTTCTTTATTTTCCTTTATTCTCTGATCCTCCTGCTGAACTCACAATGCATCTTGCTCTTAAACTCCAGAGGAGCCTGTTCTGAATGTACGAGGTTTGTAGCCGCCCGGCTGGTGTTGAACCAGGGGGTCCGGGGGGGAAAAAGGTATTTGAACGCATCAGGGTATCTGAAGATGGTTTGGGGGTATTTAAGACAGTACAGGAGCTGTGATACTTCTGTCGAGTGGTACCTGCTGGCAGGAGGAAGAGGGGTGTATGAGAGGTAGGGCAGAGGGGGTGGGGTCTGTCTAGTTGGCTGCTTGGCGCCGTCCCTCTGGGACGAGCGAGGTGAAGAAGGTGCTGATGAAGGACCACGCGGTGGTAAAGAGGCTGGGCTCGGGGACGACGGCGGCGGCAGCAGCAGCCTGGTCCTGGTTCTGGTCCTCGGGGCCTACAGCTCCTTCCTCACCCCGGTCATCGTCGTCGTCCATCCCCTCATCCATCAGGCGTTCCTGACACACAGATGGGACGATACAGAAAACATTGATGATGCGATGCTACATACATGCAATGTGATCATTACATTCATCAATTACCTTCATGTTTTGGTTTAATTTTCAGCAGTTAATCTCCAAAAGTTGATTTTAATGACACTTGATCCATGTCCTAAAGTACAAATCTGTACCTGGATGCAGATCTGCAAAAATCCAGGTACACACCCAGTTGTCTTTTCCACAACTTGATGCAGCGAATAGTCTGTTTGGGGTTTTTTAAGATTATTTTTGCTTATATTTGACAGAGGACAGTGTAGAAATGGGGGAGAAAGAGAGAGAGAGAAATAAAAAGGGGTATTACATGCAACAAAGCTCCCAAGGCCAGAATCGAACCCGGGATGTTGCGGCCATGTGGCATGTGCTGTAATCACCAGCTTTTAATCTTTAGCAGATCTATTAAAAACTTTATCTAGTCACTTGTCAACCGTAGAAATCTTACATAGAACAGTACGTTCATGTAACAGCTGTCAGGAGCAACATGCTGGGCGGATAGGTAAAAGCTGTTGGATGGTTGTTGCAGAGATTAAGACAGCGAGGTTGAGAGACGTCCTCCAGCTCACCATTTCCTGTATGTCCTGGTGTCTCTCCGCCGCCTCCTGAGGAGGCTGGAGGAGATTCTGCTGCTCCGGCCTGAAGGGAAACCAACCAGCCTGATGCCTGGAGGAAAAAAAAAACACAAACATACTCTTACCCTTTAGTTTAAAGCTTTTATCTCACGTACATAGAAATGTTTCAAATGTTTATTATTTTTTTAATCCCATGGAAAGATTTGTGAAAACTGACTTTGGCCACAAACACACATGCAGCTAACTGAATAGAAATTAAAGCAAATGTGAAAAATAAAAAGAAGTGTATGTGTAAAATATAAGTGTCTCACAGGTAGACGAGCAGCATGGCGCCGACCACCATGACGAAGCGGCTGAAGGAGGAGTAGAAGTAGACGATGCTGAGCAGCACGCCGGCGCGGGACACCGTGTACAACCAGTCCAGCCAATCGCGGTTGAGCTCGTCGTCGTTCAGCACCGCCCCGCCCTGCGCGTTCATCTGGATGTTGGGGTTGGCCGGCTGGTTCTCGGGCAGAGGGTTGGGGGCCGGGTTGGGCCCCAGCGGGGGCTGCACGGCCTCGTTGGGTTGGGCGGGTTGAAGGGGCGAGGGGGAGGAAGGTGGGGGGGTGCTGGGAGGCTGGGAGGCAGCTACTGCTGCTTGACTGATGAGGAAGAGAAAACATTCAGTTGTTTAGAAGAAAATACAACCAACTCGACTTCAGTTTATAGGTCTGGAGTCATTTTTAACTGTTCAACTTCAGAGGAAGAAATAATAAGAAAAAGCTGAGTGTTGCTGCATTTATAGGCAAATGGCAGCAATTATAAAAAGATTAAATCTATATAAACAACCTTGACTGACATCTTTTCAACTTACTATTGCATGTAGTAGTGGCGTGCATACATCTGCTGCCACCACAGCATCTGCATGGGCATGTACATGGGGTGGGGGGGCATGTTGGCAGGGAGGTCTCCTTGCAAAGGGACCTGGGCTCCATCTGGCCTGTGGAGGAGCGCCATGTTTGTTATTACATGTGTTTACACTCTGCACAAACACACACACAGGCTAATGACAACGTGTTCCGTCTGCCTCTTTAGTTTTCTCTTCATCATCCACATTAGAAATATATTTTACAATCTTCTGGTCCTGCAGTTCTGCTTCCAGTGTAATAAAACCCAACACAAAATCACCAAGGTTCAGTACCGTAGAGCTCAGCTGACTAACCACCGTAGTCAGTGAGAATGAGTCCTACATCAGTTATACTGTGGAGGACCTGCTTACCACTGAGGGACACCAGCGGGGCTCTGAGGGTTGTACTGGGGGACGCCGCCGCGATACCTCAGCCCGTCATGACTTCCCGGGACAGAAGAGGAAGAGGCTGGCTGATTGGCATGGGAGGTGGAGCCGGCGCCGTCTGAACTCTGAGGGACGAGATGTGAACACCAATCAGAAGTTGAGATGAGGACGTTGCTGCGTTTTTTAAATAATGAATACAAAGAAAAGAGGAGGTTTTATAAAAGGTGTGTTTTTGGGACTGAACCTAAAGCGAGTTTTAAAAGGCAGAGTGACTACGATAATACCAAGCTGTTACAGCTCACTGGGGACGGACCAATCGAACTTTTACTCTCCTTAAACCTCAACTGAGGGCGTCCGCTGACACAGAGTACTGGTCCAATACCATGTGCGCTCTTTTCCCCTAAATTTAAAATCTGTTACCCTCACTGTGTGGAGCTGGTTGGGACTATTTTCATCTAAAGTAACATGGAGTCAAGAATAGAAACTAAAAGCTGAGTCACCAGCCCGCCGTGACTGAAGGAATGATGTTGACAAAGAAATGTGTTGAATGTGTTGAATGTGGATCTGTGACGTCACGGCCCAAACCCGATCCTTGTGATTGACAGGGCGCTACGACAGCGTCGTCTGGTCTGGGAGTCGTCCGTGTTTTTGTCTTACAACTTTAACCCTTTCACAGCGTTTTCAGCTCATGACAGTTAGTTGTAACAGGTTTGGTCGACTAAAAATACTGTATTCAGCGTTCGCTTGTACTTAGCTCCACCCTCTTTTGTCACATCTGGTTGCAAAAAAGCAAGATGGCGATGGCCAAAAGGGCAGTCTTCAAACCAGTGGGTGACGTCACATTGATTACATCAACTTCTTATATTCAGTTTGAGCCCTAGGGGAGAGTTGGTGTGTGTCGGTCTACTCACACTGGAGTCAGGAGCAGAAGAGCTGGCCATGGCGGGGCTCCGGGGCATGGGCGAGGCTGGGGGGCTGTGAGAGGTACACACTAGATGCATCATGTGGTATTCATCCTGCTGCGGGTCCACGAGTCAAGGATGTGGGAGGACGAGGAGGAGGAGGAGGAGGAAGAGGCGGAAGAGAAGGTAGCAACAGAGCAGAGAGATAAAACAAGAAAAAGAGAAAGAGAGGATTAAAGAGGAAATGGCCAGAATTCAGACACACTGCTCAGTCTTTGTTGGTAAAACACATCAGATCAGCTATTGTTTCCCAGGCAGCCTGTTTCAGTTCTCCCACAGCACGCACACGCACACACACACACACACACACACACACACACACACACACACACACACACACACAGACGCTATGTGTGTGTGTGCGTGCTTTGTCTGTTGTTTTGGCAAAGATGCCAAAGATTTGCTGGTCCAAGCTTCTCAAACGAGCAGGTTTGATGCTTTTCTCTGTCAAACAGGATTTTAAACGTAATATTTTACACTTTGACTTATAAACAGGCATTTGTCACTATTTTATGACATTTTATAGACAAAATTATTAATTGAGAAAATGATCTGCAGCTTAAATAATCCTTAGTTGCAGCAGTTGATGAAAAAAATTTAACATATATACATTTTAAAAAGGCTTTTTCAGACAGGGACAAATCCACCTGGGTGGGTTGCCAAACATTGCTCATACACTCACCTCATGCACACACACACAGCCTTACCTTTCTGAGCACATCTCTGAGCTGTAGGTGGTCTTGAAGGAGCCTCCCTGAGTACACCAGCCGCTGGTCTTTGGACAGCTGCAACACAAACAGCATCACATGGTGAGACAGAGAATGGACTGGTGTGAAAACAGTGTGAAACGGTGAGAATACATTTTCTTTTGTTAAAACAGCAACAAGAAAGTGCCTTTAGGTCACTGTGTGACCGTCTCAGCCACCCAACTTGTCTTTTTCTTTACAGTGTAAACAGATAAGGGCGACTAAAACCTCAAACGTCAACAAATATTTCAAGTATCCCCACGGTCGAGGTTTAAGAAAACCCGGATGAGAAGTCCTTCAGGTGCTCAGGAAAAAATATGGAAATTGAGACTTTTCTCAACTGCTGTTTCGAAGGTCGAGCATGAACTCTCAGCAGAAACATTCAGCCTCTTAGATAAACAGACTGATTGTGTTTGTAGCTGTGAGAGGGGGAAGACCTTGTTGTGTTAGAACACAGGAGGGTGACTGATTAGACTCCTTCAGATGAGATTAGATTGCTGAGCTACAGATTAGATTTTGAGGCTTACTAAAAGCACACGCAGTATGTACGATCATATTTTCTGTGCTTCCCGAGGAGCTGCACTTAATATCATTAAATACACTTGCCCATGTTAAAAAACTACCGACAACTGGAGCATAAAAAACTCATACAAATATGTGTGCTGAGCTTTCCATTTTATCGTCGCTCTTCTTCTTTTGCAACACGACCTGATTAACTCGAGGAACAAACTGTCACTTTTATTTTAACACACTTTGCTTTGCTCTAAATATCTGTGGTCTGTTTTTAGTCATGACAAAATGAAACAGAAACATTTGTAAAGATGTATTTTTCTTTTCCATTCTGCTCGTCAGAAATCTGCTAAAAGTGAACCGCTGCAATGCTCTTTTCTTTTTCTTTCTTCTTTTAGTGCTGCAAAGCAGTCAAAAGGTGCGAGCAGGAGGCTCGTTGTTCACACACCAACACAATGCACCTGTTAACACCCTCCACACACAGGATGAACACCGCAGCAGTGCATTGCACCTGTTAACACCCTCCACACACAGGATGAACACCGCAGCAGTGCATTGCACCTGTTAACACCCTCCACACACAGGATGAACACCACAGCAGTGCATTGCACCTGTTAACACCCTCCACACACAGGATGAACACCGCAGCAGTGCATTTAGTCACATGATCGTGTGGAACTCTCTCGGAGGGAGTGGTTCAAAAAGGATCATTTTTCTCTCCACGCTGTAAAAAATAAAAAAGTGTAACTGACATAAAATCCAGGAAGCGTCTGTGCTCCGTGAAGTATGAAGAATACACCGGCAGACTTTTTTTTTTATTTCACGCTAACATTTTTAAAGAAATATGACAAATATTTGTGAGAATTTAATGTTTTGTAAATGGAAATATCTTTGGGAACTTTAAGACAAAAAAAAAAAAAAAAAGACAATTGAAGCACTTTGTCTCTCTGGAATTGTGTTGCGTACGTTCGAATGTTTTGTAGACCAACCGGTTAATTAATTACTGGAAAACAAACAGCAATGGAAAACAAATAATTTAAATAATTGTCAGTCGCAGCCCTATATTTGTGTTTTGGTTCAGTTTATTTAAAGCACATTTAGTTCTATGTCCACCCTAAGATCATTATAAACTTTTAGGAGTCACTCCTGGTCCATGAGTCAGCTTAAACTCAAGACTTAATTAAAAGAAAACATCAAACATGGGAGCGACTTACCGGCTTGCTGGGGTACACGTTGGTGATGTGACTCTTCAGCCGCTCCACAGTCCAGTTGAGGAAGCAGTTAATGGTCTGGTCTTCATACTTCTGGTTGGGGGCCTTGAGGACCAGGGTTACAGGACTATCAACTGCCCAGGAGTCCATGGCTCATATTACTAGCAGGGTGGGCTCTGAAGAACCTGAGCTAATTGTGTCACAACTCAGGACACACCTGAGGAGGAAGCTGCCTCAAACCCGCTCCATTCTGGGGCTCAGTTGAAACACACCTAAAGCTGTCTCTGGTGGGGGGTGGGGGGGGGGGCGGTGTGGTTCCCCCTCTACAACATCTGCCTCATCTGTTGGGGAAGTTGGTGGTTTCCGACTGTATTGATGGGAATTCTTCTGTGGTGATAGTCGTTGGATTTCTAGGTGGAAGAAAAATATGAAGAAAAGTCTCTTTGAGGGGAAATAAGTCTTTCACACATTATATATCTGGTTGTATAGATGTAACTATTATTTGAAGAAGTTATTTTTACTGCAATCATGTACGTAAAATGTTGTTAATGTCTTGTCTCAGGTTTTATACCGTGGTCTTAGCGATATCTTATTTCAGCCGTATTTGTTAAAGCTGAATTGATAAAAAAGCGTTTGTTTAGTCACTTTAGAGGCTGTAGTATTGTACTACGTTATAATGAAAGGTGTATTATATTATGTATAAGACTAATTATTAGAGACACTTATACATACAGTATACCTTTTAGGTCTCTTAGCTGGTTAGTTGACTAATGGGACATTTTAGTTTATTAGTCCTTTTTCATGCTTTATTTCTAAGAAACATATGAGCCCATCTCTGGTAAACAAGCTTTAAAGTGGTGCTACAGACACATTAATAGAGCGGGGTTGTTGTTACACCAAGAGTATGATGGTATGATATGAATCGTAGGATTACTAAAGATTCCCATCACTACAACTTAACCTGTACATGACCTACAGCTTAATACTGTTCCATCAATTTGGATGCTTTATGATTTTATATAATGACCATCCACTTTTGGCCTTTAACTGTTTTTAACTCATTTAATATTTTGCATTTCTATTGTATTTAGTAATAGATTGAGTGTAAGGGGATTCACAAGACAAGTGGAGACAAGTACATGTACACATAAACAGCAAAAAGAGATTATACAAAGCAAGATAAGGAAAATGACAAAAACAAACAAAGGAACAGAAGCAAACTGAGGAAAACAATATTGGTCCAAAACGAACATCCGGCAAAAAACTGTGTATGCAGGTGTGTGTGTGAGTGTGTGTGTGTTCAGGATAATGAGTGAGTGAGGGGTGTTGAATGAGATGGTAATATATAGTTTTATCGAGAGTTATATCTGTAGTTATAACTCCACATTTCTTATCATATATATATATTTCCTTTTAAGTGTAAAGATGAATGGTGAATGGAGAAGGACAATAAAAAAAGAGAGAAATGGGTAAAAATAAAATGTAAGAAAAATATAAATGAACCAAATTAAGTAGAAAATATATTCACTTTTTAATGGTTTGCTTATTGATTGATGTCTTTGTTTATGCTTGAAAATTGATTTTCTGACCCTGAAATAAGGTATTTAAATATCACACACGCGCGCTCACGCACGCACGCACGCACACGCACACACAGTCTGTATTTTAAAGGCAAGAGAACCATTGAAGCATGAAGACAGAAGCTAACCGCTATCGCGAGTTTCACTTCACACTTTCTGACACCTGCTACGTTGCGTCATCCTCACAGTAAAAACTGTCAAACAATTAGCTAACTACTAACCACCGGGCTAATTCACACCCGAGTCAAGCTAACCCGGGTTATCCGCTGCCAAAACCAACAAATAAAACCACGAAAGTAGCTTTAGGTGACTCCTGTAACGGCTCGGGTTATATCTTGACCCGTCTTTGAAACCAGGGTAACAGGGTTAGCTTGTTAGCTTGTAGGCTAACGTTAGCTTCGCTGTTGCTTGCTGGGGGAAAAACAACAATTTGTAAAACCGTTGACGGCGGTGACAGCACGTTTAACTTAACGAACAGACGGCATGTTACCGACATCAGACAAAGTCTTTTATTTTGTTTTATCCCCCCCCCCCAACCGTACCTGTTTATTACTCCGGTGGTGCCGTCGTCTCTTCGTCCCAGATCGGCTCGCCTTATCGCCTTGTTGTAATAATGTCGGGTGTGTGTGTGTGTGTGAGAGAGAGAAAGAGACCGGAAGCCACGTCATCGGCCACGTCACAACAGCTGATCCGAGACAACAGATCCGGTTAAGAAACCAGAAGGACCAGTCGAGGAAGTAGTCAGATGATCCCTCCTCTGTTTGGTTAACACATTACTTCAGATTAGTTTCCTCCTCACTTAAATAAAGCAAGAAAGATTTGAAAATATCTTATTATTTTTGATTTATGCCTCTTATTATTCCTCTTTTTTTGTTCTTGTCCATCCCTAGTGATTAATAAAGGACTGTTATAAGAGACCATGATGGTTTCTTAAGTACAAGCACTTTTTCATCATATGATAATATAATAACAGATTTTAGACATGTGATACATTATAATTACTTTGAGAGCATTCATTAGGAATTTAGACTTAATATATATTTTGTCAACAATAAAGATAGTTAATTGCATTTTTATAGTTCTACATTTGCTCTACTCATACACACAAGTATAGAAGTGATCCCTCTGAATCCTGTGTGTTCTGTAATACTGGCACAGAAACAATTCTACATTTATTCTATGAATGCATTTATGATATATATTATTTAAGACTAAGAAAAGAGATGTTATTCTTTATTATGGGGGAAATAATCTGGACAGAAGTTATGTCTTCTTTTGAACCATCTAATTTTATATGTTAAGTGTTGTATCTACAAATGCAAATGGTCTGAAAGGAAACTCAATATGTACCAGCTCAAGCAGGAAATGAAACTGGACAGTGAAACACTAAAAGTACTGACAATTCAGATAACCATCAGGACTATGGTCAACTATAAAAAAAAACTCTTTTTAAGTTATATAATGTATTTACCCCTTTTCCTCTTGTTACCAATTGTATTCCTCAGCTTCTTTGTAGCAGTGAATACAGAAATGGACCTTTTCAAACAACATACATATTCTAAGTGGACGCCCTTTGTTTTAAACCATTTCTATGTTTTATTTCCTGTTGGAATGTTCGTGTGTTCACGGCATTGATACACAGGTGGGTTAAGTAATAATCAAACTAATTATTTATTCATAAATCAGAATATACAAAGACACCGCCTAGTTATGACTATGAAGCTATTAATATGCCTCCAAATGTGACAAAGATCTCTATATATTACTAGAAAATGATCTCACCAATGGAACGTTTTTATAACCAACAATCGTTTGGTAAATCTTTTCTTCTAATTTTATTCCTGATTTATTTATCTTCATGTTTATTCTACTGCTAAACCGTCCTGCAGTACTGAAATACTTTCTGCTCCCAGCATTATCATTTTAACTTCACATAATGACACAAAATGTGTGGATGAACGAGGCAAAGTCAGAAAGGACTTCAAAGAGCTGCAGTGTAGGAAAGAAAAGCCAGAGCATTTTGTAACTCTTTAAAACTTGTATTTTTCCAGAAATGGTTTGCATGCTTCTCTGTACACAGGTGTTTGTGGCTGATTTAATGTTTTACATAAACAGATTTTCAGTTTCAAACCGGTCTCCTCTCAGCCACACGCTCAGTTCTCTGGTTGTCTGAAGGTATGTTGTTTACAGTTTCAGTTTGCGGAGGACCTCCTTGGTCAACTGTTTACTGTACCGGTTGATCTTCCGGTGTCCGGGCATCCATCCCAGCAGAAAGCGATGAAAGTCTGTCCATGCGAACGCAAACATCTCCCTCCACTCTTTCTCCAGGGCAACGACATCCACATCTTTCTTCACCGCTTGCTTTAACTCGGTGAAATAGAAGTCCAGCAGGCCCGGTACCCTCTTCTCACACTCCCTCTCCTCCATGCAGCTTCCTAAGAAATACACAACATCTTTCATCCCGCAGCCTCCTCCCACATACTGGAAGTCCACAGCCGCCACGTCCCCTCCGCTCTGCGAAAAACAGAAGTTGGCTAACTTGGCGTCTCCGTGAACGACGGTCTTGAAGAGACACTCGTTGAGTTTCTTGTCGATGTCGCCGGCTGCTGCTTTGAGCTCGGCGTTGTCCATGGCCTCCAGCTCGTCCGGACGGGTCTCCAGGTGCCAGTAGGTGCCGACAGGCCACAGGCCCTCTGGTGTCACGCCCAGGAAGAGAGCATGGAAGTGGGCAAGCCAGCTGAGACAAGCCTTTATTTCTCTGTCCTTCACGCTGGTCCTATGAAGACAAACAACAAACTGTTATTCATCCGGCATGGAATGTCTTCCTCTTCTCCATGCCTTGAAAGACATGGAAAACAAGTCTTAAAACTGACAAATGTTCTTCAGTATGTAGGATGTTTTAGCCATAACGCAAGAATTCATATGGTAATTATGACAATTTCAGGGAAAAAAATATATTTCACACAGAAGTGACTGAATAAAATTATGAAATGAAACATTTTTTAGTGTCTCTGTCCACTCATGTGATGCACTAAACTCAACAGAGCTCCAGAATGTCCCAGTGGTTCACACCTAATCTGTGCTCGTATACCTTCTCTGATCATAACCCGCCACGTCCAGATCCTCCAGCACCATCAGCATCTCGTCTCCATGGGAAGAAGCAGCCAGGCAGGCAGGAGTCCGACAGCTACGATCGGTGGAATACTTCCGATACCAGTGCGTCTCCACCTGGTAGGATCTCACTTTACGCGTGTGGGAGCGATCTGTGTTCCAGCCGCCGGGGTGCTCAGCCTCCTCCGGAAACATGACGTGCTTGACGACCACAGACGGCCGGTCGCAGCCCTCCAGGTGCAGCCTCACTATCTCCCCGTAGCCGCTCCACAGCGTCTGGATCTTCGCACCGACGCGCAGGGATGACGCAGCGCATGCCCGCAGGATGAGATCCTGGTGCTCCGGTTTCATTTCCAGTCGGAGCTGAAGAGCAAAGAGGAGGAGGCGTGTTAAGTGCATCAAGTACAAATTCAACATACTTGTACTTTACTTGTGTATTTCCATTCTATGCAGCTTTATACTTCTACTCCACTACATCTCTGAGGCAAATGCTGTACTTTTTACTTCACTTCCTTTGTCTGACAGCTTGAGTTACTTTTCACAATACAATTTTAATCCTCTACCTGCATCTCCAGATGTGTTGATTTTATATTAGATTTTTTTTCCTTATGAGCTGAAGGATGAAGTGTGATGAGAAAGCTACTTCATAAACTAAATAAACTCTTTAATAAGCCTCTTTGATCAGCTGTAAAGTTCATCGTTCTTCTGACAAAATGACTTTTTAGAGATACGTGTTTCTCACAGGACAGTGAGGCTTCAAACATATGATGATATTAGAGACTATGGTGCATTGCTGTAGATTAAACTACCCAAAGGTATATAAAGAAGTTCAACATCTACAACATTAAAATGTAACATACACATTCATGCAGCAGTAATATGAATCTAGAAATATCCTATATAATAGCAAAACACTGACAACTACTACAAACTACTGCACAGTCAATACTTTTATTTTTAAGTACATTTTTTTGCTGCTCACAGATCTTTTACTCATGCAAAATACCGACATATAGATCCTCTCGTTATTGTTGCTGTTGGTCACTGCAGTATCTTAGAGTGCATCGCTTACCTCACTCACAAATAATAAACAGTCTTTATTTATGTTTCCTTCTCACACATTCAGTGGAGGCTGCTGTGACGTATACATTGTAACTATGTAACAATAACTGTGTCTCAAATATGCCAAAACGCTGCAGAAACACAACGCTGTATTTTACTTCCTGCTTTATGTCCGATAACAGGAAGTATTCTCCACAGCCTTCCGTGTGATGCTTAAAGCTGCAGACATGGAGTAAAGACAGCTAAATGAACACTGCTGCCACCTGCTGGTCTGGAGTGCATCAACAGCAGCGTGTGGTCCTCATCATAACTGATGGAGACCTTCGGGGCTTGGACACGTGGTTGGTCGCTGTGTGAGCTAAAAGGAGCTGCGTTCCAAATCACATACTTTTTTACTCGTAGCTGCAGCTGCCCGTAGAAAGTGCGTACTGTTTCACGCAGTATGTATTTCATTGGGACATACTACTTCCTCATAACATGGCACCTTGAACTGTGACCCTCTTACCTATGTACCTGCCTCGCAAAGGATTGTGGGTCAGAATAGCCAGAAAAACATGCTGGCCTAATCCCAATGTCCCCCCCTAAGGCTTTAAACCCTGAACCCTCAGGGACTTAGTGACATCACCTGTTAAATGGTTGAGTGTGAGAGTCTGTGAGGGATTGAAATGGTGTAAATACTAACGGGACAGCACTTTGCTGCAACATATCACGTTATTATGACAAAGGCAAAAAATATTTTGTACAATTGTGGGTATTTAACTTTTTACTCCCTGATTTGAACGTCTTCCAGGCTCTTTCCTCACAAGATGAGCGGTAACTTCAGGCCGATGGCTTGCACACTGCAAAATTCAGAAAAAAAAATATAATATGAGATTAAAGTTGTAAATTGATGAGAAAAAAACCTGGATATTCTCTGAGATTTAAGTGGAAGAAAATCATAGATTTACAATATTTATGGATATTTTCTGAGATTAAGGTTGCAAATTTACGGGAAAAAAATTGTAAATTAGCGAGATTATAACATCATACATTTACAAGATATACATTGTCTCATACATTTATGATTAAATAAATAAAAAAAAATGTGTAATTTGTTGTATTAACTTCAATCAGTCACTTTTATCTCAGAAAATATTCAAGTTTTTCTCACGAATTTCTGACTTTAATCTCTGAGTTTTTTCTCTGAATACTACCCCGTCACTGGATCCGTAATTATTATTATTATTATTTACCTAAAATGGCCCTAATACGCCGTTGTAACCTTTTTACTTTGTGTGAGTGCAAGTTTACATCACATGACATTAATCTGACAGACCGAATCCTGCTGCATCCCTCAACTACTGCAGGTCTGTGGGTTTCTACCACACAGTGTCCTCGTCCACAGACTTTTCACTTTCTTTCCTCCCATTGGCTTTATATCTTTATTTTGATCGTTCAGGTTTTCACTGCAGCACATACTTATCAGTTGATCAATATATACGGCTTCTCTCCCACAGGGCTGTGTTCTCTGTCCTCGTGTGTGCCTCGGCATCGATACTTATTCGTCCAAACTCCCAAAACCTGGTATGAGGCGCAGAGCTACTGCAGAGAGACTTGTATTGACCTCGCCACCATGGACGACATCAGCGAGATGGAGACAGGTCTTGAAAGTGTCCAGGACTAAAATGAAGCCGTGTGGATAGGACTTCGGAAAGTTCTCTGGCGGACAAAGATTTCTACAAGGAGGGAGAAAGAAATTATCTGTATGAGATTTTGGGGCCACCTGCAAAATACAACTGTAGATCTTACAAAGAGGGGGAACTGAAAGTATCAAACTGCCCAGATCTTCATTATACTATTTGCTTTGATGGTGAGTCATTCACACAAACACACACACACACACACACACACACACACACACACAGACATACAGTCTTGTTACCATTAACTTTGGGTACATATTGACTTACATTTATTTTCTGGAGACGTGCATGTTGACCCCAAAAGGAAGTCAAGTCCCCACAATGTGAGTGTGTCAACAGATTTATGTCCCCACATCACGAGCAGTCCTAATAGACACATCATTGATTATGCATGCTATTTATGCACATTTGCTATGATGTTATTGGAGGCATTGAAAACCCTTGATACAATAAAGCCAACCAATAGTACGCCAACATTGGCATGCTAACATTTAGCAGGTATATTGTTTACCATGTTCACAATCATAGTTTAGCATGTTAGCATGCTAACATTTGCTAATTAGTGCTGAAGACAAAGTACAGCTAGGCTGATGGGAATGTCATTAACTTTGCAAGTATTTCAGAATCAGAATTTTGTTTTATTGCCAAGTAGGCTTTCACATACAGTCACACTTCTTTGGTTTATTGGTGTGTAACAGAAACATAGTAAGAGAAAATAAGATGAAAAATGATGCATGCTGGCAGGAAGAAGAAATACAAATAGCTGCTGATCACATCATCCTTCCCAAACCAGTGCCTAAGATTACCCAGAGTTCAACAATAATTAAAGTTCACACACACTTTATATGCATTGAATGTTACCCCAAAGAGAGCTATTATTAATAATATTACAGATATATTATAGTTATACTCCTTTTTCGTATATAGTAGAAAATGGCATTTCACAATCAGGGGTGTTGGCGCAGGACACATGACTTAAGATTTGACTTGACAAAATGAAAAAGTACAGGACATTGTGATATTAGTGTAACGTCTGTAAGTGCAGGTGAGGTCTATTCAGCCAAAGGTACAAGCAAATACTACACTGTACTTCCTGAAAGATTTGAATAAATTCAACGGGACATGAAGAGAGACGAGAGAGAGAGAGCAAAGATAACATAAGGTAAGTCTGTTCTATATTCTCTTGCTCACATAATTATTTGTGCACCATATCTAAAACAAGAAATACATAAAATAGCAAAATGCTGGGGTTTCCCCGAGAAGCTTCTATTAGAGCTTGTCTCTTTTATCTCTTTCTTTTGATACGCAGACAAACACAGATTATTAATCTGGGTATAAATATGTATGAAGGCTGGACAATAAGGATGACACCTTCTCACCTGATGACCACATTGAAGCACTTAACATTTCTGAATGAACTTTGGAGACTTCTGTGGAACTGATTATTTCAGCGACACAACAGGGGGTACTTGATTTGATTTGTTATGATTTATGCGTCTTTGTCGTAAGTATGATTTATCCTGCATATATACCTCAGTTTATTTCAATTTAATTATTTCGAAAACATCTGCTTAAATCTACCGGACTAAAATTTGAAGTATGTTTTTTGTCTGTAACCTAGTACACCCCTGCGAACACGTACGCAGTGGTACATTCCAAATGACAGCTAGCTCCATGCTCGAGCGCGAGCTAGACTGCCACTACCACAGAAAGCCTTCTTTTAACCAACAACATCGCGTTTTATTTGTGCCGTTATAGCCTACTTTCTACTTATTGACCACCAACATGTCCACACCTAAGAAGGGAGACTTGTCTCCAAGCGAGAAGGAGTTGTTTGAGGTCATCACTGCAGGTAAGCCTCTTCGGATAATGCTAATCCCTCTAGAACCCCCACACAGGGAGCTAGCTCTTGTTAGCTTGTATGCTAACGTTAGCCAATTTATATTGTGATAGTTTGAAGCTCACCACTGTGAACTTAACTTGTATCCAAATGCCTGTTTTTCTTGCTGTAGAGTCATAAAAGTGTGTATTTTGTAACGGTAACATTATGACAGACGAGTTGATGACTAAAACGTTTAAGAATCTCAGAAAATGAACTGCAGGTAAAGCTTGGTGTTTGTATTTATAATACAATAACACTGATTTTTATGCACTTAGGAAATGTTCAAGAGGCCTCGAGGCTGCTGGGCTGTAAGGATGTTCGAGTCAACTGCTTGGATGAGGTAACTCTTAAAGCACGTGGACACAACAAACATTAATTTCTCCTACTTTACATGTATCAAGTATTTATCTCGTGCACAACAATTACAATCTTAGACCTCAGGCTTCCTCCAACAATGCTCATTAAATGTTCATCCTACAGCAACGATGCATCACTTACATCCTAATTAATTTAACTATATTCATACCGTCTGTTTTATTATAACGTTCTCATATTGTCCTGCACCGAACAAACTTTTATGAAGTGAGTCTTGTATTCATTCTCAACATTAGCTTTCAGCTGTGACTCGAATGTCGTCGTTCGTGCAAAAGGGTCAAATGTTGGCGAGTGAACATCATAAGATCCTTGAGCTCTTCCTTTGTTCAGGGACATATGTGTGGGACAAGAGGACTCACTAGTCAGCACTCTGAAGGGCTTTATAGGACGCCCTTCATGTCCGCCTGTCACCATCAGGTGTTTGAAACAGATGTTCTGTTAAGTAGCTGAAGGTGTGGCAGTCTGTTGAGTACTTGTTGTTGTTTTTCTGTTTGCATAAGAGCAGGGATATACCTTCATGTCTAAACGTTTTGGAAAGATTGAAAGAAAACAACAACTCAAAGTCAGAATGCAAAAATAAAGAGGAAAAAGTTGAAAGCTCAGTTGAAAGTTGGGTCTCACATTAAGGAACAGGCGATGCATGTAAAGGTGAAGTATTGGATCTGCAGAATTTAACATGCCAAAGCTCATTCAGTCAATGGAGTGCCGGAAAAAGGAAAGCAGCTCTTGTATGTCACATTATTTAGTATTTTATTTCTTAATTATTAACTGGTTAGTGGGTGTCGGGCTATCAAAAGCTGAATTAACCAAAACTGACATCCCTACAATCGATTAACTGCACACATTTAAATCTCAGGTTCCAGCTTCTCCAGTGTGAGGTTTGCTGCTGCCTTCTATTTTATATCATTTATATAATATCTTCAACATGAAAACTGATTATCTTTAGGTTCTTTGTTTGTCAGATACAAGACATCTGATGCCACCACCCATTGGAAGGGAGAAATTTAACAATGCGATTAATAGTCAGCAGATGAATGACAAATGAAAGCGATTTGTTAGTGGCAGCCTTAATGCTGTAAATCCTTTAAACCAGAGGTCTTCATTCAGCCGACGGAATATTTAAACCTTACAGGACATGCAACATCACAACAGGTGGGGGGGCAGTCGTTAGGACAACACAGACGGGGATAACAAAAAATAAAATATACTCAATAACGATCAGTTTAAACTCCTTGTTATTATTTATTTTATTATTATTATAGAAAGGGGAGACAGTATCCAAAATGTTTGTCAATGTTTTTAATTTGTGATTTTATAAAGACTTTTATATTCATGATTAAACTCTTCTTTGTAGGAACTTTGTTCATATTTTCTGAAAAGTGAAATTGTTCATGTAAATTGTGTGTCTGAGCTCTGTTTTGTTCTGGTCCACAGTACGGGATGACCCCTCTCATGCACGCTGCTTACAAAGGGAAAGCCGACATGTGCAAGTTGCTGCTGCAACACGGAGCGGACGTGAACTGCAACGAACACGAGCACGGATACACAGCGCTGATGTTTGCTGGCCTGTCAGGTTGGAGCCGATGACCTGATTTAAAAAATCTCATCTCTGTTATCTTTTTGTGAAAGTCCCCCCCCCCCCCCCCCATGTGTGTTGTGACTCCTCCTCCCTCTGTGGCTGCAGGTAAGACCGACATCACGTGGATGATGCTGGACGCCGGGGCGGAAACAGACGTGGTCAACTCAGTAGGAAGGACCGCCGCACAGATGGCAGCCTTTGTCGGTACGTCTGTTTGTGAAATCTAAATGCGTCCCAGTGTTAACGGATGTAGATGTGGCAACTTCACAAGCATCTACATCAATCACCACAGCAACATCAGCTGAAGAGTGTTGAGAGCATCTTTAAATCCACAGCTAGAGAATCCTGTGGGGAAATATTTCTGAAAATCTAATTTCAGACATTTCAAGTATCAGCGGTAACCCTGCTAAAAGCAGCTAGCACCGCAAAGAAGCACAAATCAACTTAATGGAAACGGCAGCTCCAACGTTGTTACTTCATCTTTCACGACACTCCATAAAACACTACGTAAAGTAAGACGTGAGGAAAAGGATTTGTTTATGTCGACAAAGATCAATCTCTAACTTTTCCACTTGAATCACCGTTCTGTTAGACTTTTCCCCCGTTGGAGGTCATTTTTTCCGAGTACAATGGGTTGCAGCTAAAGAGCCGAGCTTTGTTTGCACCGACTTAAACTGTGATTCCAGTGTTGCATTTAAACGGCTTGTAACCTGCTCTGTTTAATACATAAACACGTGACCGTCTCCTCTTTTTCCCTGCGCAGGACAACACGACTGTGTCACGGTGATCAACAACTTCTTCTCCCGGGCCAGACTGGACTACTACACCAAGCCTCAGGGTTTGGAGAAGGAACCCAAGCTGCCATCCAAACTGGCCGGACCCCTCCACAAGGTCATCATGAGCACCAACCTGAACCCCGTCAAGGTAGGACACCGCTGGGGTGGTTTAATAGGTTTAAATTGTGCTGTAAATATTATAATAATAATAATAATAATAATAGTAATACCTTTATTCGTATACAGCACCTTCTACAAAGTGCTTAGGCAGACAAAGCAAAGGCAATAAAACAGAAAGCAAGATGGACTACGGTATAAATGTAAACACTGATTAAACTGTTAAAAGAAATCGATACAATAGGAACACAAAACAAATAAACAAGTAATCAGAGAATGACTCAGCTGCTGCAGTGATTTAAGACCAGCATGCTTTAGGGCTTCTTGGATCTTGCATCACGCACAAGAGCACTAAATGAGGCTCCACGTGTGCCCAAAATACACGACCACTTTGTACAGTAATGCCTCCTGTTCCGGCTAAAAGAGGAACTCCACCGATTTTACACATCAAGTCTGTTTATAAGTCTGGGGGAGGGGGAGTGCTATCGCATGTATGTAAATAAATGAATGTATAAAGCCTTTTCTGGCTCCAGAATGGAAGTTGATGAGTGTCTCCTGTGTCTTGCAGATGGTGATGCTGGTGAAGGAGAACCCTCTGGTGGCCGAGGTGGAGGCTCTGGAGAAATGCCGCCGGGTGATGGAGCTCATCTGTGAGAAGTGCATCAAGCAGCAGGACATGAACGAGGTGCTGGCCATGAAGATGCACTACATCAGCTGCGTGCTGGGAAAGTGTGCGTCCTTCCTCAAGGACCGCGAGGACAAGCTGGACGGCCTCATCAAGAGGTGAGGCCGGTATTTACCGTCTCATTTAAGGAGGCCAAAAAGCCAAATTGGGTGATGTTATGATGCCGGTTTAAGTTTCCGACTTCAAGACTAAACGGAGAGGAGCCTGACTGGAGCTGTGTCTGTTCCAACAGGGCTTCTGTCATCTGATCGTTAAATCTCAGGAGTTTCATTAATCTTCAAACACAAACTTTACATTTCTTTGATCATCAGTTGTCGTGTGATTTGCGTTTCCGTTCTAAAAGTTGAGCTCCTTGGTTCCCCGTCCTGCAGCTTGCTGAAGGGTCGGGACAGAGACGGCTTCCCCGTGTACCAGGAGAAGTTCCTCAGAGAGTGCATCCGCAAGTTCCCGTACTGTGACGCCACTCTGCTGCAGCAGCTGGTGCGGAGCATCGCCCCCGTGGAGATCGTGAGTCTGGATGAGAGTTAATCCAGCATTTAGCTGCTCCTCAGTACATCACAGTAGAGCTGAAGCATATGCTTTTGGTTGCGTCTCATCTCGATGTAAAGGTTCTGTGTTAGTGTCTTGTTGTGCGATGCCTGATCGGGTTTTCTTTCTGTGCTTGCAGGGTAACGACCCCACAGCTCTGTCGGTGCTGACTCAGGCCATCACCGGTCAGGTCGGCTTCATGGATGCAGAGTTTTGTACCTCGTGTGGCGAGAAGGGCGCCGAGAAGAGATGCTCCGTCTGCAAGATGGTGAGTGTCAAAACGACAGAAACGTATCAATTTTCATCTTTTCTTCATGTGTAAAGAGTGTTTGGTGTTTTACTGCGTGCGGCTTTTAATTATCACGTTACACGTTCAAATAAAGTCGCCTCTATTTTTCTCGGGCGCTAGGTGATCTACTGCGGCCAGGCCTGTCAGAAGATGCACTGGTTCACCCACAAGAAAGTTTGCAAGACGCTCCAAGAGCAGAGAGAGGAGCAGGAGGCCGAGTCAGCCACGCTGAGGCTGCAGCAGAGCAAAGGTACGTCTGTCTCAAACGTGACACACAAGAAAAGATGACTTGTTTTAGATCGGAAATGCAAAATGTAAATGAGTAATAAATACATATGTAGGACTCAGTATTTTAGTTTTTTTATTTGTCTAAGAAATTCAGAAAATGGTCGTTATTTCTTCCATTATGAGGGAAAATAGAAAGATGGATATTAGATTTTTAAAATCTTAATCTGTAATTAACCAGTGCATGGAAAAGCAATTTGTTGGATGTTGGATGTTGATGTCTCGCCTTAAACCAACATGACAGAACATAAACTGTCGACGGTCACCCTCGGATCACAGATGTCTTGTTTCTGTATTTATATTCTGTGTTTCTGCACGGTCAAACTAAACTGTGTCGTCTCTGTGTTTCAGGGGAGAGTGAAGCTGTGCAGGAGGCCTCAGACTCCATGCACGAGCTCTCGATGGAGCCCGACAGTGAGGCCCCCCCCTCAGAAACCTCAAACCCTTCTCCAATCCCGGCTGCTGACAACTGAGCGGGCCTGAATCCAGCCGAACGGCACAGAGAGAGAGAGAGAGAGAGAGAGAGAGAGAGAGAGAGAGCTGACTGGCACTGAGACTGAAAGCCAGACGGAGACGGACCAGCCGTAGACGAGAACCCATATTTATTATCCACCTGAGACTGTCTCAAAGGTCCGAGGCCACGGCGGTCATCTCTTTATTTTATATGTTATATGTGAATGTGAAGAATTGACGTGTTTGTGGTAGAGGTCTCTGGGGGGGGCGGGGGGGGCGGCGCGGCATGTGAATGGTTCACATCGATGATGGCCTTAAGAAACTGTAGCAACCTGTGCAGGAAAGACGTGACTGTGTAGCCAATCAGAGCAGCGGCTTGTTTGCTACGTACTTGATTTGTTGTTGGGACGTTAACTTCATAGCGGACTGTTAGCGGAAGGCAAGGCTGCACAATATTCACCAAACATGTATATTTTTGAAATACAAACATAAACATTAATTGAATTACTGTGTTTCCTGATAGATGACAATAATGCTCATGCTTTTCTTAGTTTATTTTGATCGTATCGACCGTTTAATCAGCTGGTTTAACTGTAACTTTAGTTTGAGCTTTGTTGGGCCTCACTGTTGAACTTTCTGTTTTATTGCCTTTGCTTTTGCTGCTTTCTATGTCAAAGCACTTTGTAAACATGGTTTTTAAAGGTGCTATAAATAAAGTTATTATTATTTTCATGATTTTCCTAACTGAACCAAAATGAAAGTGTTTTTTTTTTTTTCCCTCAAAATGCAACATTATTGGTTGTTGGAGCCTCGTGTACAGCACAAGAACACCAACATTCTAGTCGTGTGCGTTTGATAACCTTTCCTTTATTGTGCAGCCTGAATGCACAGATGTTTGATGTTTGTCCTGAACACACTGATCATCTCCAAAATGTCAAACAACTTGAGCTCAATCACGTGCAATAAAGACCAGCTTCATCAAAGTGATCCTATTGGTTTTTGGTGTGAAGTCTTAATCTCTCTGAAAGCATCACGTTCACTACATTTGTTTACATTTTGGTAAATTGGTGGCATTAACAGTAAGTCGCAGGTCCTGTTTGTAATGTACCGATGGATATACAGTCAACTATCACTGGATTAGTTTGGTACTGAAGAAAACTTCAGAACAAGAGGATTCTCTGTTAAGTTCTGTTGTACTGAGTATGATATGAAGTATGATTTAGTAAACCCACCAATGTTTTGTCATGCATGACATTTATTTTCCTGGCTTTAGTTCCCCTGCAAGCCCAGGGATTCAAACCAACAACCTCTCAGCCAGAGTAACTTTTTAACTTCATGACATTTTCACATCTTCCCAGATAATTCACAGGAGAAATATAGAACTCATCAGAAACAGACCTGATGTTATTGTTGTGGAGGTGAAGTGCAGTCAAGCAGCAGTTGAGGGAACGACAGCTGAGCCCTCTGATCTAAATTAAATTAAAATAAATGAGCTTTTCCTTCCTCAACAGAAGCCTACCTTGTTGTTATTCAGCCACAAGTCCCTCAGAGAGTGGAATCTTGACAAGTCGGGGACGCTGTTGAGTTTTCTGTTCAGCAAAACAGAAAACATGTCAATCTTTTCTGAATCTCTTGTTTGTTTGAGTACCACAGGTACATTTGTTTTAAATGCCCCCAAAAGGTGTCTTACTTTGTGACAAGGCTGAGTTTGCAAACGTCGACGTCCCTCCTTATTCCAGACTTCTGCAGAGACTCCTCCATGTGCTGTATTTATGGTGAGAGAAGAAGAAATCACAGATTACAAAGTGACAGAAGCTACATTCATGTGATTAAATGACTGTATCATTGATCTGCAGGGAAGGCACATATCCAGCAGAGGGCAATGTTTTACCAAAATTAAAAAATGAATAGGCAAACGAAGTCAATTTATTTTAGTTTGCAGCTTTATTTATTCACATTGTGGTTCGTAATAATGTGCAATGGACTCCCAAAAGAATTTCTCTTCATCCTCACTGTCGGTACATTTACTGAAGTACTGAATTTAATGTAATTTTATTTTACTTTGAGTTTGGGGAACTTTTCTACCTTTTTTCAGCTAAATTTCAGAGGGAAATAATGTAGTTTTGTGTTTCATAACTTGTAACAGCTGTGGTAACTTGTCACTACTTTGAGTTCAACATAACAATGAATACACTTAATCCCATTCTCTCCGAGAGCGAGGTGAGAAGATATACTCTTATGTCTGTGAGAATGGAGCCAAAACAGGAACACAAGTAGCTCAGTTTAAAGACTGGAACTTTAAAAAACATGATGACTTTACACTTAAAGATATTTCTCTCAACCAACAAACCTCTACAACATCTGGAGGAGCATGTAAATATATCATTTATTTGGGAATAAATTGTATTTATTTGAGCATGGTACTGTGGGTCATTCTTGACCTTAGAATTGGCACCTGGTGCAGAATTCCCTCAACTCAAGGTCCACTTACTGGCTTTTTTGGGGAGGTTTTTAGTCCGCTGCCTCTATCAGCTAACGGAAACGATTTAGGTGACATCAGAATTGTGGAAAGTTGGTCGCGTGATAACAAGGTCGGACACGATGGTGAGTTCGTACCCTCTTGTCTTGATGACACCTGAACCAGTTCCGTTTGCTGATGAAGACCATGAGATGTGGTTGACAGCTCCTGAAAAAAGCTCTAAGAGCAGATTGTTATTGCCTGTATGACCACTAGTACAATGCAGAGGTGGAGGAAGTACTCAGATATTTTACTCAAGTAAAAGGAGCAATACCACAGTGTAAAAGTACTGCATTTAAAATATCCTTAAAGGTGCAGTGCGTAGATTTGGCATCTGTTTTTTTGCAACCAACTGAAACTTCTCCCATGAATCGAGCGAGAAGTAGAACTTTGGTGGCCGATGTGAAAACGTGAATGTCCCTCTCTGGAGCCAGAGTTTGGTTTGTTCATTCTGGGCTTCTGTAGAAACATATATATTATATTATTGAATTTATGTAATAGACTTAATGTTGCAGTTTTTTATAAAGGCCTACTGCCGGGTAACTTGTGAATTTCTTATCTTTAGCCACAATAATACATCATACTTTATTAGTTTTGTATTATTAATCTGAATCTGCATAGAAACTAAAGGTATCAAATAAATGTAGAAGAGTAGAAAGTACAATATAATACAGAAATGTTGTCAAGAAGGAGTATAAAGCAGCAGAAAATGAAAAATACTCAAGTAAAGTACCTCAAAATTATTATTATTGCACTTTGAAAATGCACCATGAGAATATTGGTGTAACAGTAATGATGGTTGAAGTGCCATTGTTTGTCTTATCACTCTCAGGGAACACGGCCCTCCCTCCGTCGTACGTCGTCCGCTGGGATCTTTTGCAAACTCTGTGACATCAGTGACCTTTTCTTTCTTTCTTTGTTCCAGGTGTTGTGCATTCCTTTTGTTCCCCCTCCGGTCGACCCCCGCCACACCTCCCATTGCTACATGTGGGCGCTTCCTGATCACGCTCCCTCTCCCTCCACGCTGCTTGTCAATATGGCTATTAACCCAGCCACCTTTCATTTCCCATGAGGGTTAGGGGGCTACCGAATTCCCGCTGCTGAGTTTCTCTGCTGCCGAGGGCACAAAAGGGGGAGCCCTATCATATTCGCCTCTCCGCATTCATTGAACCCGGTCCCATAAGAAGCTCAGAGGGGCGTCGAAGTGTTAGAAGAGCCGGCCATGTTGCCCTTTTATTTTCTGTCGGAAGTGGAGTGAATGAGCCTCTGGTGCTCCTGTTTGAGGACAAACAGAAGAGAGGAAACAATAACACAAACTGTGACGTTTAATAACAGACTGGCTTCACCTGCTGGGAGATTTAAAACCCTCCCAGTCAAGAATTACATCTATTAAAGGGTCTCCATATGATGTTCAAAACATTAATATAGCAGCAAACAACTATTATGCTATAGTAAATATACAGTGGAGCAACGTGAGCGGAGAATAAACGCTTCCTCTGTGTGTTTTGTTATCAGGGCTTCATGTGCTTTGTTGACATAGGCGGGCCGGCTCTTCATGCTGTTAGTGCATGTTAGTGCATGTGAGCGTGCCCGACTGGCTAGCTTGTGGCCGCTGCTCTTCACCGTTCTTATACGCAGGTTACAGCTGATAACGCCGTCAGGACAACACGTCTACATCGCCAAAGTGAAGCGCCCACCTGGTTCCCTCCTCAGGAAAATAATACCAAAATTGGAGGTATGATATTTTTGACTGACTACAAAACTAAACTCTGCTTTTCTTCATGATGACTACTTTAACTCACTTGGGTAAATACCTGTGTACATTTTCCTATTTTTTACCACTGTGGAATTCGAAATGTTAGTATTTCCTTTCACTCGGGAGAAGGAAGACATGTCCCCGGGCCTCCTCACGCTCTTCAACGAGACCACAACCCTAAAAAAGAGAAGAAAAAAAAGGTGCTCCTGTGATAATAAAACCGAGTGATATCAGCTTTCATTCACATGAGCAACAATTAGTGTCTCTGCACAACGCCTCTCCTCAAATCAGTGAGACAAGCCTGGAATGAACATTCCCCCACAAAAGTAATTGCACCTCTCCTTGTTTTTGTACAGTGGACACTGATCATTAGAGGTGTAACTGACGGGGGTTGAGAGGCAGACGGCCAATTACACACAGACAATATCAGCTTTCATTCACAATCAAACCAGAGAGAGAGAGAGAGAGAGAGAGAGAGGGAGAGAGAGAGACATAGAGAGGGAGGGAGAGAGAGAGGGAGAGAGAGAGGGAGAGGGAGAGAGAGAGACATAGAGAGGGAGGGAGAGAGAGAGGGAGAGAGAGAGGGAGAGGGAGCTAGAGAGAGACATAGAGAGGGAGGGAGAGAGAGAGGGAGAGAGAGAGAGAGAGGCAGGTCTCAACGTGGAGAAGATCCAACATGGAAGACAAACCAGAAGGTAAAACATGATACTTAAGTCATCAGCGTGTGATTAATGCTCCACTGATTAATGAGCATCATTGTGTCTGGATAGTGTTACTGTGACACAACAGGTGTCAGAGAGCTCAGACTTTTAACAGTTTCAGAGGGAATTCAGCAAAAATGTCTCAGTAATTGATCATCTGAGTTCGTTTTTATTTGCTTATTGAAAGGAAGTGACATCATGATGAATTACAACACATCACACTTTGTCAGAGATGGTGATGATCTGTCAAAATGGAGACAGGCATTCTGTGTCTGACAAAAACAAATGTGGAAACTGCGAGCTAGAAACTGGAGGATTGAGTCATGAAGGCAGACGATCAGTGTGTGTGATATTATGGGTATTATTAACGCAAAGTTCTTCTTCATTACAACACTTTTGTTGGACGTGGAAAGTTCTTCTCTACGTGCACAGTGGAAAGTTGTTTAACGCTAATAAGTCCGTCTTTCAAAAGACAGACTTATCGCTCTCTGCTGTTTGAGAAACAGCACGTGGATGGAGATCTAATCATGTGCACCTAAATGTTATGTAGAAATACGGGACAGATGTTAAGTTTTATTTCCGTCCTTCCCATCTTTCCTCCTGTAGCTGATCTGAAAATGTCTGATAAACAAATCTGGAGGTGCAAAGAAATCCTACATTCCAGTACTTTTTTATTTTACATACAACAGCATCTATAGCACATTTGGACAAAACATTATTTGCTCTCCTTTGCATGTGATCAGAGAGGTAAAACAACAATGTTGTACATCACAAATTGCAATTTTCATCATCAGAAGTATAGAAAAGTTAATCAACATCTCACTGGTTTTACAAAGTGCTGCACGAGTTTTTAAAGAATGGAACAGTGGAAACCCTTTCACACGTCTCAGAGCAGCTGCAGCTTTGATTTGGAGTCCAGTGACGGAGGGAACATTTAATGAAACTAATACCGACTGCCATTAAGGACTTCTTAAGATTTCCATATGGAAGCCATGAATGAGGAGGAGAAGCTGCAGCAGTAACATACAACAAACCAAACTGCTGTGAAGTGAAAAAAAAGAACATCCAGAAAATACAATGGGAGAACAGCAGGAGTCACTAAAAGCAGAAGTCTGTTTATCAGCACACAGCTCCACAACAGCTTCATGGAAGAGCATCAGTATCACTTCACAGGTCACTAAAGTAAAGCTAAAACATATTTACAATAAAAAAAGAATCTGTTTTTTCGGACAGTTTTGGTATTTTTAAACAAACCTTCTCAGATTGAAACATGTTATGTATACAAAACAAATCTTTCCTTCTCTGCAGTCTGGAAATCGTCTTATTCTTTCACTCAAAACATTCAGATATTACATAATGAACAAATCCAAGAAGCTTCATCTTGTTTGCCTTCTCTATGTTTTCTATGTTTCTTAATGTCAGATATTGATCAGCTGTCTTCATCGTGATGAAGGTTGGTTGAGGGAGACAACGATGGAAACCAGATGTTTATCCTCTTCTTCCAGACAAAATCTGATATTTAATAAATATATCAGGAATAAAAAAAACACGTGTTGATTACTTAAGCACGAAATCCCATCATCATCCTCATCATCATCATGATAGGCCTCCTCTGCAGAATCCAGGATCAAATTCTAAACCTCCACAATAAAAGCAGTGGGCGGGGTTATATTACGAGCGTACATTTATGGCGACCAATCACAGCCTCCCAACAGAGACGCACCTGAGTAGCAGCCAAAGCGCGAGGCGGTGCCGTCTGTATAAAGAGTCCCGGGTCTCGCTTGTTCTTCATCCAGCATCAGTCCTCCTCCAGTCGGACCTTACATCTCTCCGACCATGCACCTGAGCGCGTGCGAGTCGTGCCACTCCCTGCTCGTGCTCTGCATCCTTCTGAGGAGTTGCCAACCCTTCAGGAACGACGCCACGGAGCTCCTGTTCTCAAGCGTGAGCGCGCCGGTGCCGCCGGAGGTTCAGAGCAACGTGACCCTGAACCGCGCGCGGACCGGCGGGCGAGGAGCGGCCGGCGGGGCGCACGACAGAGGAGGTGAGGACCGGAGGATGCTCCGCTTTGTCGTTTACCGGGTGTTCTCATATACGCTCTTATGATATTAGTATGGAGACCAGAACGTGTGTGTGTGTGTGTTTGTGTGTGTGTGTGTGTGTGTGGGGGGGTACTTTAGAAGAAGTTGCAATAACCTTTCTGTGCTTTAAGATACTTTTTTTGTCCTTATAATTCTGGTTATTTCTAATCTGAGGTTATTTGCACGACATTAAACAGCCATGCTATCTGAATACTGTTTAGGGTTTGGCCATGGATTATTATAGTCCAATCTCTTACTTTGAGTTATTAATCAAATAGCAGCATTCGTAACAGATGAAGAAAACAGAACTAACAGCAAATGCAAGCTGCTCCATTAAAAAAAACAACTGTATTTGATTTTCTTCATTTTAAGGATGCATGCAGCCTCTTGATGAAGCTGTTTTTTGTCTTCCATCTCAAAGAGCCAAGAGACCCATTTAATCAGTCACTTAATCTCATCATCATCACTTACACGTTCTTCAAAAGAGATTGCAGACGACATGCCTCACTTAAAAAATATCATTCTATTGGCAAAAAGTTGGCGTGTATCACAAGAACCCTGCAGTTGTAGAATGATAAAAAATATAAATCACTGTGAAGTTAGAAGGGATGTGTGGTGAGAGATCTCTGCTGCAGACTCCCAGTGTCAGTGTCACTCAGTGTAACACACACCTGGCTGCAGGTACGAGTAGCTGCAGCTTAAAGAAGGGGAAGGAAGCCTCTGATTGTTGGCTCTGAGCTCTATACCAGCAGCCGGCTGTGAAGGAGGGGGGGGTTCATTCATCATACACTGACACTGAGCTGTATGGAGCACTATGAATGGACCTGAGCTTGGGTTACAGTAGGGGGGGGCGAGCCTGCAGCAGAATAACACAGAGTCACATAGCTGCACAGAGGTAATCCTGCTGTTAAATCCCTGCCACACTCAATATAAATAAAAAGATTTACTCTTTTCACATGCGATGATTCCTCAGCTTTTCGACGCAGAAAGGTCAAAACGCGATTTGAGCTGCTTCCCTGAGTTCCTGTGACTTGCCAGAGGTTTCGAATCATAACCAACATAATGTAGGCTACAGAGTAAAGGGCTGAGCAGTGATCCTTTATTATCGTGTGTTAACCTTTATAACGTCACCATGAAGTCTGTAATTGTGTTGTCTCAATTAGTGCTGAAGAGGACATTCGGATGGGAATCTCTCAAAACTAAATCTAACATCAGAGCTGCAACAATTAGTCGATTAACTGAAATGAATCAGCACCTTTTTAATGAGGAAATACTGATTCTGGTCGTGTTTTTAAGTCAACATGCTCTTGTTTCAGCTGCATTTCAATTCGTACATGATTATTAGGTGAATCTGTGTGGTGTTTCGGAGTGTTGGTCGTACAAAACAAGACTTTTAAAGGGTTACCTATGGGCTGTGTGAACGTTATTACAGGCTTTGTGCACTATTCACAGACATTTTATAGTCAGACAATAACCGTTAGTTGCAAGCCCTATATGGTTTTCTATCCTGTGCAGCTGCCAGATTCCCACAATCCTGATTGTGTCTTTCCACAGAGCGAGGCCAAATCGGATGCAGAGAGCTGAGGTCCACTAAGTACATCTCCGACGGCCACTGCACCAGCATCAACCCCATCAAGGAGCTGGTGTGCGCCGGCGAGTGCCTCCCAGCTCAGATGCTCCAAAACTGGATCGGCGGCGCCTACGGCAGGAAGCTGTGGGGTCGCCGGGGCGGCGGCCAGGACTGGCGGTGCGTCAACGACAAGACCCGCACCCAGCGCATCCAGCTGCAGTGCCAGGACGGCAGCGCCAGAACGTACAAAATCACCGTGGTCACCTCCTGCAAGTGCAAGAGGTACTCGAGGCAGCACAACGAGTCGGGCAACAAGTTCGGGGAGCCGGCTCTGTCGGCACCGCAGCTCGTGCACAAGTCCAAGAGCAAGAGGAGGCCGGGGAAGAACCGGCTGAGCGAGAACTGGCACGACACCGAACCCTGAGACTCGCTCCGAAAAATCCACGTGCACCTGCAGGAGGTTTTTGTCTCGGTGATATAGAGACTCGACGGCCAGAGTTTGTGGATTAAACTTCTCAAAGTGACTGGGACTTGATTTAGGTGAAGCTGGTTCCTCGCTATGACGGAGAACTCCAGATGGCATGCTAAGGACTTTTGTGGTTGAAAGATATGTGAACAGAACCGGGGTGTAAACCTTCTGGATCCCCGAGCCAACACACATTGTCCCAGCCATATATGTTCTTATATATTCATTTTATACGCAGATGGAGATCTGCAGTCTCGGCACCAACACCAGTAAACACCAAACAATCTTTTTTTGTAAATACTTTGTACATATATCAAAATTCTTACTTGCCTTTTTGAAGTATGGCCCATGTGTATAAAATTTTACTATGTAAGATTTATGATGTATGATGTAATATATTTTCAGTGGCAACATACAATATGATATGTTGGTTGGTGAGTGGCGTCAGCATGTGGGCGAAATCTGGAAAAAAAGCTTTTTCATCAATCAAGTCTTGTAATAACTTTATATGAAATAAATATCACCTTTTATCACATGTATTGTTGTCAGTGGAGACTTTATGGGTACAAATGACAAACTTCATGGTGGTGAGGTTCTTCATTTTAAATAATGCATAAATATGTATGTGCATAAATTCTTTTTACAGACTGTAAAAAACATTTTGGTATGACTTTTTACTGCAGGAATAGTTTTCCAATGCCAAGGCTGATATAGTTTTGTGTTCTCGCGAGATGTGCTACCACAACCTACTTTCAGCAGCACAAGACAGAGAACCTGAAATCACGCGAGACCTGTGGCGACCTGTAGCAGCTGTAGATGCTTCTCCAAAGATGCATCAAGTATTCACTTGAATTTAACCGGAAATCAAATTATTTCACCTTTAAAATAAAAGTTGATTCTAAACTTAAAAAAACAAACATCTGAGTGTCAAATTATGCAAGAGCAAATTATGATTCATTTAATTTGCTTCTACAGTCGTTGTAAAACGTTATTTAATCAATTGGTTTGACCACTATTGACATTTTTAAGGTAATAGATTGTCTACCATATCTGGTACAGATCTTATGTATTTTACTGGTAGTCCGAATTATATAGAAATTCATATTTTCTGTTGTCAGTGCAATACAGTGTGAGGACCTGGTACTTAAGTATTTCCATTTTGAGACTTTAATTAAATTTACACTTGCGGACTAGGCCTACTATTTGCTATGGAGTATTTTAATTATGGTATTACTTTTAAAGTAGTTTTCACCACTTAATAACTAAGACATTTGAAAACAGTCTGCTTAAGGTAACAGACTTACAAGTACCCCACTACCAAAAATTGGTGGTGAAAGTAAACGACCTAGACTTGGTTTCTTTTATTTTGAAAGCATCCACCGGAAGAACAACATTCAACGGTTCTAGCTTGAACGCGCTGTTTTCCCAAACTCTCCATCCACGTTACCGCTACATTCCCACCCCGCCCATCAGCTGGGGATGGACAGGTTTGGGAATTACCTGCCGTGACCCCCCCTCACCTGCCACCGGATGGAGGTTAACCACACCGACATGCAGAGCGACAGTTGTGATCCGGACAGGCCCGCCGCTCATCCCGGGATTTTCCCAACACGCGAGGCCGGGAAGAGCGACCTCCAGCCGGCGGAACACAGCGTGGACTTCCCGGTGTCGGTGGTTCTTCCTGCCGGCGGCACCGGAGAGAGAACCGGACTACAGACACCGAAACAGTTCTGCTCGTTTCTGGGTCGGCCGCTCATAAGCTACACTATCCAGGCTTTCGAGAGGTGGGAGAATTATAACAATACCATAAGAATAAAATGTCATAAACTCTCTTTGTGTGTAACATGTCCAGGTAACTTCCAGGTGAGCCGTTAGTGACAGCAGGAGAGGGAAACAGTCAGGATGTGTGTCTGTGCAGGCTGGGAATGTAACTAAATACATGAACTCAAACGCAATGACAGGTACTTGTACTGTACTTGAGTATTTTGTTTTCACACCACTTTCTACTTCTGCAAGTGTTTGACAGCTTTAGTTACTCTAAACATTTAAAGTAGGCACGCAAAACCTATGAAGACCTTATAAATGAATGATCTTATGAATTAAACTAGCCAACAGTACAAACAATACAGTGTTGTTGCTGATTGGCAGAAAATAATTTGTCAATTAAGTCATTTATCATACAAAAAAACATATGTTTCCCGCTTCTCAAATGTGAGAATTTGCAGCTTTTTAAAAAAAACTTTAAAATATATTAATAATTGTATTCATGATGTGATTTCTGCACATGGTTGTACACATGAAAAGTCACCAAAGGTGCTGACAAAAGAGAGTTTGAAAATCCTGCCTTCTTTCTCACCTCCACACAGTTCGGGAAATTTTACAAAACATCTGAAATGTGTGGAGGAGGAGGTTCCAGATGCCGTTAAAATGATCCGTTATGCACCATGTCTGAAGCATAATGAAGCTTTAACACAGAAGAAGTAGTAGTTCCTGTGTTTTCTGTGGATTATCTTGATGTCTCCTTTTGGCAGATCCAGTAAAATAAATACCCGACAAACGTATTGATGCACAAATCATATTAATATGCAATATTACCTTAAATCAGTCTCGCTCATTGATTTGCACTATTGTCCACACTCTGACATTAATATAGTAGCTACCACGGTATGTAGGCCTGTCACAATAATATTGACTTATCGTACAATATGTGGACATGACTACAATCATTTTTGCTGACCTCGATATTGCCCGTTGTGTTTACATGTAAGTTTGTTTACACTCAGGTAAACACAGTCAGCACTGTTGCCTTAGTTTGCACTGTTAGCACCGTTAGCTCCTAGCCGCCGGCTCAGCCATCGCCATGTTGAGAGGCAATAGAAATGCTCCCAATCTCGTATTCGGCACCTTTACGGTCTCAGAATTACAATAATATTGTTCATTGCAAGTACTTCTTTAACAATATGTCATCCAACAAAATTAGTTGTTGTGACGGGCCTAGTGGGATTGTAAAAATACAAAACAGTTTACACATTTATATCAGTAATTTATAACAGTCATATCGCCCAACTGCAAGTGGACACAGAGAACCAGGGCAACATTAAACCAAACCATCTTTATGACTAGAGGTAAATAAAAGAATAGTTCTGTTGTAATGTGGCTGAACCGACCCTTTAATACTAGTACCTGTGTACTGTTAGGTGTACCTCTGAAAGTACTTACTTACTTATTTGACTGCAGTTCATCCTATTTCCATGTTGCCAGAGGATAAGAGTCTCTCTTCCACCACTGGAGGACGGACAGATTTCAGGCTCCATAACAGTGAAGAGAAGGTGGATGTTTACACTGCGTGGTGATCACAGCCTGACCCTCATTACAACAACACAATAACAACCGGTGTTTATAATCGGACGTGTCTCCTCTTCGCCTGTTGTCGGTGTTTACGTGTCGTCAGGAAATGTGTGCAGTAACATCCTGGGACCAGAGAGCAGGATGGAGACGCTGCCTGTGTGGCCCCGCGTGATTACGGAGAGGTCGGAGGTCGTCGCTGTCAGTCCTGAACTTAAAAGGGTTTCAGTCAGATCCTAGAAGCTAGCAGTGAGTTAGCTTAGCTTAGCATAAAACCAGAAACAGGGGGAACCAGCTAGCAAAACCACAATTAGTTGTTTTACCACTATTGTAATTGCATCTCTGTTCTATGTCTCTTAGTTACAATTTATTTTGGTTTGGACTGTTGGTTGGCAGCATTTTGAAGACGTCACCTTTTGGCTTTGGGAACTTTAAACAAGCATTTTTCCACATTCTCCACATTAAATCCGCAGAACATAATCAACAGATTAGTTGCAGCCCTGCTTCCTAAACGTAAGGAGCTCTGGGTGGGTGCTGGGTTCTGCCTTTCGTCCCTGGTTACTTGTGACTTGTCACCTCACTGAAACAGATGTCGCTGAGCTGACAGATGTGCGTTCTCGCAGGGTCTCGTGGATCCAGAGCATCGTGGTCGTCGTAGCCAAAGAAAACATGGAGCTGATGACGGACATCGTGCAGCGCTTCCAGCACAGGAAGGTTCGAGCGGTGCCAGGCGGCTCGACCCGTCACAGGTCGATATGTAACGGAGTCCTGGCTCTGGGGGAGGAGGAGGAGGAGGAGGTGAGGCCGGAGGTGGTCATCATCCACGACGCCGTGCGGCCTTTTGTGGACGAGGACTTTCTGTACTTGATAGCCACGGCTGCCAAGGAGCACGGGGTCAGTATGATCAACGCTATTTAAACCAAAACACATGAATATTCTGAACTGAAATCCCTCCAACTTGTTACATCTGCTGCTCTTCCTCATGTATATCAAAGCTGTTTTTATTGTTTATTACAACTGGGTGACCTCCTTCTTGTTGGTTCATTCTGTCCACAGACAACTTTAGCACCAAATACATGAGAGACAAAACCATGTATTAATCAATCGTAGTATCAGAATAGTTCAGCAACTATTCTGATACTACCATTTACATATATTTATAATGATTTCATCATTTTTAAGCAAAAAATGTCTCAGGTTCCAGCTCCTCAAAAGTGACTTTTTTGCTTAATTTCTGTCTTTCTGGTGCAGAGCCTGTTCAGAACGGGCTGAATGCTTGGACTGTAGTATTGCTGTTCATACAAACAACTTTACCCGCTTCACTCTGCGCTTCCTCAGTAATACACCTGCCATGACACCGTAGCCTCACACACCCCATCCATACTAATCAGAAACGCAGGTAAAATAGTCTGGTTCTCTGGGGAAAAAACACACCCATGTCTGTCTACTCGCTGTCAGAAACATCTGTGAAACACACCTAGTGGATGTATTCATTTCTAATTTGGAGTATTAGTTGCTTTCTTGAAGTAACCACTGGGGTTATAAAGTAGAAAATGGATTTAATTAGTGTCGGGGTTTGGTTGTAACGTTATCCAGCATCCATGTAGTGTTAGCGGGCTCTGTCCACCTATAGTTAATGAGCTGCAGTCCCCCCCCCCCCCCCGCTGCTGAACAGCGAGCCGTTTGCTTGTGCAGTCAAAGTTTATTAATATTGATCGTGTCGCATTTAGAAATTACACCAAATCTAACACTGCACGTCTTTACGTCCCCAGCAACACACACACCAAGTGTGAAGTTTGATGAATGGTATTGAAGATATGTGAAGGACAGACAGACAGACTGCTTTATAGTTACATTTAGGGCTGCAACTAATAATTATTACATTATTTAAAATCCTCTTGATACATTGTCTGAATATGTCCAAGGTGACATCCTCAAATATCTCATTTTGTCCGTCCGACAGTTGGAATAAAACACCAAAATAATAAATTCACTACAACGAAAGACCAGTAAAATCAGTGAATTTAAGGAGCTAAAACCATCAAATGTTTGGCAAAAGTTTCTTGAAAAATGACTTTCAAAATTTTAACGTTTTTTTGTGTCAATCGAGGAATCGATCAATGGACTAATCGTTACAGCTCTAGTCTTACATAATATTAAACGGAGTATATTTGGGTTTTAGACCGTCGGTAAGATAACTTAGACATTTGAAGACATCACCTTATGAAACTGGGATATACATGTTTCACTATTTTTAGATGTTTTATGAGCCAAATAATGAATCGTCAGTATATATTGCTCTATATAAGACAAAACATCAGTAAACCCCGGGAAAATAAGCGTATGTCAATATTTTTGGGCATTGGAGTCAAAATTATTGATTGATTAAACAAAATGACGTCAGATTAATCTATAACTCAATAATCTTGAGTTCAGACATAAAACACATGTTGATTAGAAGCTCAGGTCTGTGACGTTAAACCTCGCAGATATCTGGAGGCCTTTAGCTCACTGCTAACATTCACATTCTGCCGCGAGTAAGCGTTCAAAGCTCCGTAAATGTCAGTGAATTCTCATAATTAAACTTATCTCCAGAGCTCGTTTGTGAGCATGTCGTGAAGATGTGTAACCTCTATGCACTCTGTGTTTCCAGTTGCACATGAAGGCAGGATGCGTCTATTTCAAAGAGAGGAGCAGTTCAGAGTCGATCCCAATCCGTCTACAAATAGAGGAAACAGACCCCAGAATGCCAGTTCCTCATGCAAGTAATTAAATGTCGACTGTAGCTCATACTTCGTTTTTTAAAGTGTAAACACATCCGTCATGGTGAGCTGCAGTGGCAGGAATCAAACCTTTCACCTTGTGGGATGGCGGGTTACCCGATGCGACGCAGCGCTTTCGTTTGTGCGTCCCTGGGCTTCATTTGTCACCGTGCGGTGCGAACATAAACAAAATCCAAAATAAATAAATAAAAAATACAACAAACAAAGTCAAAGTTTTCCAGTCGGGCTCAGAACCAAAGAGGACAAACAGTTCTTTTGATCACACCTTTAAGGTCTCTGCGTCCTTTTTTTTTTTTTTTTTAAGATTGACAGGCCCATCGCTCCCCGGTGGAAGCGTTTATACGTCGGTGATGGATGGAAAACATTTGGGCTGAAGTCCCAGGCCGCTGCGACCGACACACTCGCGGATTAGTCTCGCAGTGATTCACGGCCGACACTCTGCTGCACGCAGGCCGCTCGGAGAGAAAGCAAGAGCTCCGTGATACAAACCTTCACAGCGGGCGGTCTGGTCTTCGTTATCTTGCCGGCGTCCATGCTCGTGGCAGAGAGCCCGTCTCCGCGGAAAAAGCAGCAGATTATTTTTGATTTCAACAGCATGCTGTAACGCGTGGAACACATGTTTGCTTTCCTCTGACCGTCGGCTCCTGGCAACTGCCTCCGATCATGCTGTACTCAAATATTATCTCAGAAGCTGTGATTATTTTTGATTTCCAAGAAGTACAAGCAGTGCGTGCTCCAGCTAGTTAAGATAGATCTATGTTACTCTGTAATGTGGCTGCGGTCTTGAAGTATGATCAGGGAAATGTTCTCTCTTTGAAATGTGCAGTTATGGCTGCACAGATATCAAGATTATTTGAGAAAGAAAATCTGAACTGAAAGTCCATTCATTAGTTTTTTCCAGCTTTCCACAGCATCTCATGATCCTTATTCATGTTTCATTATTATGTTGTGATAACAGTTGTTCATCTTGCTTTCGTCTTCCAAAAAAACAAATTTGACATTTTATGTCAACATTTTGATTATTTTAATCTACAATAGACATTCGAAAGGAAAAGTGTCTCCATTAACATGTAACATTCGTGTTTAAAGTAGTTTTGACTCTTCCTCGGTTAATCTACTAATCGATCGTTTTGGTCTTCGTCCACTAAGATTTAATTCGTCGATTAGTTGTTTTGTCTTTTTGAACACATGAGATTTAAAGTTGTGCTTTTGTGTGATTCTTTGTGGAGAGACTCAGTTTTACAGATCTGTTGATTAAATCGACAGAATGGGTACGAGTGTTAGTCGGCTAAGAATTTCTTCCGTCGAGGACTGACTCTCTATGACAGACTGATTTCAGAACGTACCTGGGTTTTCCTCTCCCTGTACTGTCAACTCGTGTCCTCATAAGAATAAGAATAACTTCACCTCATTTCATGCTGTCCAGTGTGGCTCTATGTCTGCTGAGTTAAGGTGTTAGTTTAATACTAATCCTTGTTCAGACATTTAATCTGTCTTATTTTTATTCTTCTCTATATTTTTTACATCTGCTTGTAAAATGAGCTCATTTAAATCTTTGATGTAATTCCGTTTTTTTGACAAAGTTCGTTTACTGCCAGACTTTATTCAGAATATTGTGACGACTTCAAACTCTTTGTTTCACACCCCCATGTTCCAAGATAGCTAAATATTGTTTGAGTAATGCCAAAATCATTATTCATTCGATCAATGATGTCACAGGTTGTTATGTTTTGGTTCTTTTTGAGAGCAGCTTTGACACAAATTTAACCCTTTACAGAGCTCGTCTACGGGTAAAACATCTCTATCATTGTCATCAAAACAAATACTAACAACTCTTTCTTTTCTGGCCCAGGCAGCAGGAGCTATCCGCCCTCTCGTTTCGACGGTGATAGCCACCACATCGGAGGACTTCCTGGATCACTCTCTGGAGCGAGCCAAGTACCGAGCCAGCGAGATGCCTCAGGGATTCACATACGATGTCATCTATCAAGCCTATCAGCGGGTAGAGTCCGTTTCTTTTAACTTACCTTCAACACTAAAGTGTTTGTTGACAACAGTCAGTGCGTACATGATAAAGAAAGACAAGAAGCACAAGGATGATCGTGATGACGGCTTCCCACGATTGAAAAGGAACATAATCGTCTACGATACTGACGTTTAAAATGCTTCCTCTGCCATAGAAAAGTCAGCTGCATATCAAATCAAGTGCCCCCACCTGGGAGAGGTGGAAATGTTTTGGCTTCACTTTTGGCGAGACTTCAAGCCTCTGAGAAACTTTCCTGAATGGAGCGGCTGCAGTCCAGAGTAGAAGAGTTCTGAACTGTAGAGCAGACGGGCTCAACAAAAATGCACTGAATTCAGGAGAAGAAGAACCTTGTTTGTGTGTTTGTTCAATTTGTTTTTCTGATATTGGAAAGAACAAAATTCTTGATCTGGTTACAATTTATAGTTAAAAATCAAAAAGAAATTGGCTTGAAACTGGTTAAAAATAAATGATTTTTGTCTGGAGTCTTGTAGACCAGCTGCTGTATCTATGATCGGCAATTAGCACCGGCGGCAAAAAGCGTGATCAGGGATCTCTAAAAGTTATAGTTGCTCCCTTTTTTCCTTTTCTGCTGATCCGATCCGTGAATCTGATCCAGGATCCGATCCGGACCGTGAGTGTTATGATCCGATGCACCGCTAGAACAGACCGTTATTAAAAGTACGTATTTCTCTGGGTTTGAAAGTTACTCAGAGCTTTACAATCTGTCCTTCTGACTATTCCCAACATCCAGTTTTAAAGGTTAACCAAACCGACACAGACTAATCGAGCAGTAAAGCTACTGCGAGGGATTTACGGTGCTGGGAATCCGTTTCTTTGTTTTGATGTGCTTTGAACTACTGCAACTTCATCATCATCATCATGGAGAACAACCACCCAGGCACCTTGGATAAAAAGGATGAACGCAGCACTGAAGAGGTCAAGCAGAACTCCAGGAGTTTTCCAGAGTTGATTTCTACAACAGCTACAGTATATTAGTGGAAACCACACATAATATCAGAGGATGGACAGATCAAGGCCTGCATGCGTGTGCCGATTACTCCTGGAGGTCTCTCACGTCTTATAAAATGACAGTCAGGTTGAGATTTATGTGCTAAAAATTACACCACTTGGATGACAAAGGACTTTATGGTACTCATACATCATAACTGGCCTTTTACAGTCCTCCATTGTTCAGCAGATGTGCCAGAACCTGCAGGGTGTCACGCTGTGGAGCTTGTGGCGTGGGCGCTATCATTTTCACTTGGCCTGTGCTGCGTCTGGGAAAGAAACGTTAATATATTCTGCCACACAGCGGCAGATTAGTCTGTGGAACAAATGTGAACAAAGGCTCCGTTGGAAAATGGGGAGAGAGAGAGAGCGATGAAATGACATGGCACATGTCGGATTAATAGCCTTTGCAGTTGAGCGCTTTTTAATATGTGTACCTGAAAAATGGAAAGAATTTACCCGCTGACGTAAACCGTAAATGTGTTGGTTCTTCCCTGAAAGCCGGGGCTTTTTGCTAAGACTTGGCAGACATTCCTAATGCAAGCCGACTTAATGTGAAATCTGAATTGCAGAAGTTGACCTTATTTATTTTGCCATTTCATCCTTGACTCCATTAGGTGGCACCGATAGCCACTTTGTTTTTTATTGAAGGACGCAGCAAACCTTTGAGCTAAGAGCTGAAGTATGCCTCCAATTGGAGCCACATTTGTCCGCAGTTATTTTTACTCCTGGCACGTATGGATCTTCAGATTGCTGTGAGAGCCCTGTTGGCTTTGGCGCTGGCCTTTTCAGAAAATGAGCTCACATTTATTCTGTGGTGTTGAGGCCGGTCGAGTCAGATGAACCGGGGACGTCGCTGGAGAAAAGACAAGGTTTGAGGGGGGGGGGGGGGGGGGGGGGGATGCTTGAGAGAGTGTGTCCCCCGTCTCTCCTCTTCAACCTTTCAAAAGATAGGGAAAGTGTCAGGTTAGGACTGTAGGACATTTGCACGTTGGTAGCTTGACGGCCATTGAGGGTAGAAGAAGTGTGTGTTGAAAAGACAAAGAGTGGGCGGACACTTTATCCAGTCCCCGGTGGAAGCTTTTGTACCGGTAGAGGATGGATTACCTCAAGACCTGAGTATTACTGCTGTAACTTCTCTCCTCGGTTCCAGGGTCCACGGAATGAACGACCCCCTCTCGTTTATAGCTTGATAAAACATTACCCAGGTAGCTCTCAGGTAGCACGGATGTGTCTTTGTAGTCCGGACTGTATTTTACACCAAACGAGCTCGTCGCCTCAATCCAAACTTCCATGTGATCTACACGGTGTGAGCTTTCCCACAGCTGTGAGTCGAAGCACAAATAAAATGCTCAATGCTGCAACAAAGGGTAGGAACTGATCTTTAATTAAGATAAGTATTTATACTTTATGAGGAGCGTAGCTAAATGCATTGAGCAGATACATTCCTCAGTTCATGAGGCCAAAGCAGAGTTTGGAAAGTGAATGTTGGACTCTCAACTGTTTGCTAACGCGTTCAACATAAAACACTTTATGAGGTGATAATATGTCAATGTTGTGCTTTTCTTTTACTTGTACTCCTCAAGTGGCTTAAAAAATCAATTAATTCAGCTTTAAGACTAAAGACTAAAGATCTCACCAGCAGTTAATACTCCGTGTTTTTGTTGCTACAGATTTTGGTCGGTACTACTACTCGTAAATAATTGTGGTTTAATAACCCAACCTAACGCACAACAGGACTTCACGTTTCCATTTTCAGTTTTTATTTCCTCAAGGCCGGAAAACCCCCAATAAAATCCGAATTTCATTTAACTTTCCTTTGGGATATTGTAAACAGCCAAACAAAGGGAACACATTAGTGTGCTCAGCTTTTACAATGGGATTTGGGACTCACTCCGGCCTTAACATTCACATCCAGATTTGCCCTCGCCTGCAATTAAGTGTGATTAGTTCAATTAGACCTTTAGTTCATCTTGGCTCACAAAAATACTTTTTGGGCTGCCCCTTCTTCGTCGATTCGGTCGAAGTCGATTAGTTATTCTTCCTTTTCATGCTGAATGACTAATTTCCAGGAAACTTCTGAGCACATCTCTGGTAAACACAATATTTAAAGTGGTGCTTTTGTCTTTGTGGAGAAACTTACTCCTACCAGTGTTGGTGGACTAAGAACGTCTTCTGTTGAGGACAGCCCTGAAGACTTTTCATACCTTTTGTATTCATTTTTTGACCTCTCAGAAGTGACATTCAGCTGATTAGGACAGATCTTACCCGACTCCCTTTTGTTGCATTCGCAGCCACAGTCGCCCGTGTTTTTATATAACAAGTAGAAAATTTGCATTGGTAGCGTTTCCGTCCAATGAAATATACAAGAACCAAATGTTCTTACCTACTAATGAGCCTCAGAACTGTTGCTTGAAAAACAAGACAAAGTAAAGTACTGGAACAAAAAATGTCACATTGCAGTTGTATGCGTTACTGCTTTTCTGATCAAATGAAAGTACTATAAACCTTACATTTTAAACTTTAACCCCTATTCTAAGAATTCAGCTTTGGTTTTGTTCTTCATTTCTAGAAAGAAGTAGGCATTTTAGCGGCATGGCTTTCTGTCAGTCTGACTTTCAAACTGAAGTATCTCAACAACAGTTTGATGCATTGTCAAGGAATTCTGTGCAGATATTCATGATCCTCAGTGGATGAATCCTACCGACTTTGGCGATCCACTGGCTTTGCCTCTGGCTTCACTTTGGGTTTGAGCGAATAACTCGACAACTGTTGGATGGCTCTCCATCGTCTCCTCGGGTTGAATTGTTATAACTTTTGTGATCCCCTAACTTTTCCTCTTGTGTCTTTTCAGGTCAAAATGACTTGCACTCACATCACTCGCAGCTGTACTTTGTCATAAGCAATTAGCAAACTGTTAGAATGATAACACGCTGAACTAAAACTAAACATCAGCATGTTAGCATTGTCATTGTGATGACGCATGTTAGTCGCTGATGTCAGCATTTAGCTCAAAGCACAGATGTTGCAGCCTCGCAGAGCCGCTAACATGACTGAAGACTATTAGCCGTGTTGGTAATTATCTCAGTTTGGTCTTTTTTGATGATGTCTATGTAATGGGCTGTCCAGCTAGTTAACAGAAAAATCTAAAGTGGCCAAGTATGTGTACAGATGTGTATCAGTGGGTTCATATACGTAACCGGGTAACGCTGCAGTGGAACAACACGGTGTACCTCAGTTTGTGTTCGAGTGTGATGGAAATAAATTGTTGTCAACAGCCGCTCCTCTCCGTTGTGTCCCCCCCCCTCTCCCCTCTGCAGTGCAGTGAGTCAGACTTTGAGTTTGGCACCGAGTGTCTCCATCTGGCTCTGCAGTACTGTGGCACCAAAGCCAAGCTCATCCAGGGGCCGCCAACACTGTGGAAGGTGAGCTCGCCAGGGGCCCCGGGTTTGGGGTTGGGGATTTGGTGACATTTTGGCTCGCACAGCTGTGTGCCCTCTGCTGATTTATCATATGGGCACAAACAAAGCTCACAAATTGAAAGTGAGCGCCGCTGGCAGAAGAGGGAGCGCTACGATATCGAACGTGGCGTCCAGGATTAGCATGTAGAAATTAGTCTCAATGTAAATGTTCTGAATTCGACCCTCCGTCAGATCATGTAGCTTTCTGGCTTAAACAGTCACTTCGCCCACATTACACAAAGACATATTTTTCTTGTTAAACTCAGTGTTCGACTCTTTTTGAAACCAGTAACACAAACGGAGGAACTTAATTTCGACCCTTTCTGCCGAAACGGTTCCTGAGTTTCTGAAATGCTTCCTGGTCACCTGATAAAGGTCTTGCAGTGGCATCATGTTGTTAGATTCTTTCATTTACATTTTTAGAGGTTTGAAGAGGAAAAAACTTTACAGTGTTTCTCAAGAAAAAGCAAAGAGTAGAGAAAAGTTCAAAGAAATACATTCATTTCCAATTTTCCTTTTCCTACTCATCCTCTTGTCACACCAAACTATTCATTTCGAGTCACTGATTCAGAGCTCTGAAGAACCCAAATAACATTCCATACACCTTCGGTGTGTTGGCTCGGTAAGTTATCTTTCAGAGGCACGTATCTCAAACTCTTGACACATAAAATCAGAACTATCTGCCTTTTCAGACGCCTCAATAGATGAACATGTTTAAACCCAAGTTATTTTGTTCTCCAGGTGACCTACAAACGGGATTTGGCTGCTGCAGAGTCCATCATCAAAGGTGAGTTACCTTCTTTGTGCATTTTCCATCATCATCGTTTCCTGTAATGTTTCTAGTTTTTCATCTTCTTATGTTCCATACACAGCCGATGAATCCATGTAGACGTGTACACATGAAAGCTTCTCGGCAGTAGGTCTTCTCCGGCAGGTTAAATGGTCAGAAATGAGCAGTGAGAGAGTGTCTCTCGCTTTCTGTTGAACACAATGACCCAAAATCAGCCCTCGCTGTACCGAGAGGGATGCATTCTTTGTGGCATTGTTCACCTCCGCGCAGAGCAAGTCAGGACAAGGGATCCTATCACAATCAGAGACATGGAAATAAACACAGCCCCATATTTCACCCCCGCCAGCACCTGGACCAACAGTCACCTGTTTGATGATGACATGAGGTGCACGGTGATTATACCCAGAGCCTCTGATGTGAATGAATTCATTGTGTGTGTGTGTGTTGAAGAAAGTTCTCACATCTGTCAGTTTGAGAAACTGTCGTGTGTTTCAGTATGTGTGTGTGTGTGTATCCTGGTTAGAAGTGTGTGTTTGTGTGAACACTTATGAGCCGCTTTCTCAACAGATGACTTTTTAAGTGAGTTAGCCGTCCTGGAGGTCCTCTGTTTCTTGCGGCTGTCGATGTTGTTTTACAAAGTACAAGTTGGCCATCCGAACTTAATGTTCTCAAAATGATACTTAAACTATAAACTCATGTTCTAAGCCTTCGTTCTGTTTTAGACCATGAACCACAGATACGAAGTAGGAGCAGAAGCACAAGTCCCATTCATATTTCCCATAGACGATGTCACCTGACCGTTATATGTGATTCATTGATAAATATTGAAGGTACATGGTTGCGCACGTTGAAACTTTAAGGTAGATGTAAACTGTACGTCCCAAGGTGCATTCCAGCATGAACAAATCTGAAAACACAATCTGCATCTTAAATCAATTTACTTTCAGATTCTGGGTCACTTCAGGATGAATTCATGGCAATGTGTTTTGTTCCCAAATTAAACAACAAATCTCTTTGAATCACTCTGATTCATGCCCCTGACTGGCTTCTTCTTCATGGCAGTGGCGACCGAGTCTCATGGGTAATTTAGAGCCGAGCAACGAGCCAAAATGATAGACGATAGGTACATCTGGTGGCGTCAAAGGCTAAACCTAAAGGGCTGTTACATTCAAACATGTCTGTCATTTCTAGTGACACTGGCCTCTGATATATTCCCCACAGAGCGCTGCAGGAATGAGTCTTAAAACCCGGAAATGAGTCAGCAGTTTTGCACTTCCTGCGTCTCGAAGTCAAAAGTTTTTTTTTTATGTGTTTTTGGTTACGTGCCTGAAATCAGGTCTGTGGTTAACACAGGCGTAAGAGATTTTAACGTTTTGTTCTACCACATGAAACACGTCGGTAAATACCCCTCTCATGACTTTTGAAGCTTTTTACGTGTCTCAGCGAAGGCGGTTGTTAACAAGCGGCTAAATGAGACGCCATCAAGCTGAACACCAGTCCGCCTTTAGCTCAGTGGGGGTGATGTAAAGCCATGCGACCGTGGTGTAGTTTGTTTATAGCCGAACATTAGTGGTGTTCATTTGTGAAGATTATCCAGCTGAACAAAACGTGTGATCATCATGACCTTGTGTTTGCCACATTTGCTTATTTTCTGCAATAATCCAAAAATCCAATGTGAAAATCTGACCGTTGGCTTTTTGACGAGGGAACCAGAGTGATGCTATCTTCTGGGTTGGCCTACAGAAATCCCTCATCCCTGCAGCACTCTATGGCTGTGAATAATCAACCCAAACACGTAGGAGAAGTGACTTAAAGCAGATCAATGCTGTGCACCATCACTCTCATCATATGTTTTGATATTTATTATATATGTTAAATATGAGAAGCTACTGAAAGACACCGGTTGGTAAGAAGCAGCAGATTCTTTAACGATTTGAAGCGCAGAACAGAACACAAACAACTCTTCCCCATCAGAATATTCACCTTTACTTTAAATAATTGTTCCCCCACAGACCTTTTTTCCAGTGTCTGTTTTTCTAGCCTGGTCTTGATGTTTACAGTTCATTATTTGTGTAAAGCTTATCTGAAGGACTTTACTGAAGGAAACCAAACTTAGTTTGCGTTCATGCACATGAACGCTCTGACATGTCGATAAAGTAATTTTCTCAGTCGCACGTGTTTGTCTTGCAGACGCTCTATCGCGGTCGGCCTGTGTTATCACAGGTGGATCTGCACGCGCTGCCACGCTGGCTGATGCCCTCCAGAAGGCTGTCGGAGCTCTCGGCACGGTAAGAGTGTGTCACTCTCGGATATTGAAAGTGCCGGTTACGTCGATGATGGCGTGAGTTTGCCACTTTTATTTTTCCTCTATCTCACCGTCCCTGTACCTCCGATCCCCCAACAAACTCAACGTGAGCTCCGTGTGGGTGGCCCATCTGCGGTCAGATCCTCTAATGGACCCTGTCTGTGGCATCCACGCTCTGCAACTTTCCCTCCTCCTCCTCCTCCTCGTTTTCACCCTCCATCCCCCGACCTCCACCTCTCACTCCCCTGCATGCAGGAGAGCAGATGGCAGTCATATTTTCTGTGCCGTGGGAGTTTGCCTGATTAATTGAGTGTTTAGTGATGAGTTCTTGCCTCCTCCTCATCCTCCCTCCACCTCTGCTCAGTCTTGACAGGATCCCACTTCCCACCACGGTTCACATCCCTCCCTTTTCACTTTTAATCTAATTTTCTTTGGGCACATCAAAGTCCCCATGTTGCAAACATCCTCCGTTAAGTTTGTAAAATGGTTCCTAATAGACGGATGGAAAACAGCATCCATATGCAAAACGGTACGAGTGACAGTCTGAGATATTCAGTCAGACGGCACAGACCACATAGAAGGACCACATGTGAAATGTTCTTACCTCAACAACTGTTGGGTTTCCCTCGAGCAAGCCACGTAACCACTCAACTCAAGCAACCTTTCGTCGGATCGCTCTCCCACGACGGACAGACATGCGGTAGATGTTGTGTACAGGACGGGTTCTTCAGAAATAATTCAAAGCTGTGTTTAGAACAAGACAGTGAGGATCCTCCGCTACTGACGAGCTACGATGGTCGATGTATGAGCTGTAACATCAGCTTTGAGACAAACGGATGAACCCTGCAGTAAAGGTGTTCGGCTGTATGAAGGTGCCACGTTGTAGGGAAGAGCTCATTCAGATCTAATATTAAGAATGCTTTCCACAGTTCTTTCCTCTCTTTAGAGGCGCGTCGATGTAATCGCTCAGCCGGAAGCTGAAAGTGAAACTCTGTTCCCAGCTGGGATCGTTTACTTGCACCGCTCTCAGATGGCTCTGTTTGAAAGATGATGTTCCTTTCTCTTAATGTGTACTCCTTTCTGTTATTTGAGTAGTTTATCTTAGCTGAAAATAATATATATATATATATATAAACAAGTCATATTTATTTTAGACCTAATGTAAAGACAAATATCTAATATGATAAAATGACGATGACGTGATTGCACAACTGGTTGCTGGAGGAATACAACTGTAAGGTGATAATTCTAGTTTATTTCATGGCTACAGAACCTGTGATTTAATTCTGAAAACAAATAAAATACAAGCTTCACAAAATGTTACATATCTTTTGTATTGGATCATATCGTACAGGTGTTTATGATATTGTGTCTGCCCCTCTTTGTTCCCGTCACATATTACTCATCTCCAGAGCAGACAAATCGTCCACACATGGCTTCATGTACAGAAACGTGTTCCCCGGATCATCCTGATGTAGATATAAATTCCCCGCGTGTTGGTGTTGACAGTGGCAGGGTGGAGGCAGTGCACGCTGCATTACACGTTTCCATGTTCCAGCATGATCCCAACAGTCCATCCTCCTTTGAACTGGCTCCAAGTCGTGCGGATCTGTGCTCTCCGGTGGTGGACCGGGGCCCCCAGAGACGGATTGGAGTCGGTGTCGGCCTCTCTTTGGATCGGCTGATTGGAGCCATTCCCGTCTGCGCTCAGGTGGCTGCTGGGGATGTGTGTTTTTTCCGGTGCGTGTGTTATCGGAATCAGATACATCCTTTTTCGGGGAGTTTGGGAGGGAGGAAGAATAGAGGGGGAGATGAAAGGAGAGTGGAAGAAGTGGAAGACGGAGAATTACCTTTGTCCCAGTGCCATTACTTGAATCTAATACAGGGGTGAGCACAGTATTGTGTGTGTGTGTGTGTGTGTGTGTGTGTGTGTGTGTGTGTGTGTGTATAGGTGATTTGGCTGCATGTGTGAGAGAGACACTCACAGAAGGAATATGATTAAGGGATTCTCTCAGCAGGATGTTATCTGAGAGATCCGTTTGATGTAGTTTAAGGCTTACAGAGAAAAAGGAAAAAGTTGTCAGTTGATGTAAAAATATACAAAAAAGGAATCCGTCAAGTTAACTCCTGAAAATACCACATTACAGGAGGATTACACACGTTCACACATGAACTCCTTTTCAACCCTTTTATCTTTTTAAGTGCCTTCACTGGACAGTTGGGGGTTAAAGGCGTTGTTCAACGGTGTCTCAGTGGTGATCATGTTTCTGTCAATGAAACAGGCAAAATACCAACATATAGAACAACTAGAATTACCGCCTCGCGGTCGTACGCCTCCGCCAACCAGTCAAGTCGCAGTTTGATGTGATATCATGTTCATGCGAATACACTGGACGGACGGACAGACGGACAACCTGAACACATAGTTCCCCCAGCTAAGGCGTTTGCCGGTGCAGAGGCATAGTTTGGTAATCTTGGCCAAAAGTAGGGGTGTAATTCACAAGTTTCATCACGATACGCTTTCATATGGCTTCCTCTGACAATACAATATTTGCTGAAAGTCACGATACGATGTTTATGGAATCGGGGGGCCTGTGATCGTTACGAGACGATATCAAAATCGCTTACATTTAAATAAACTCACGAAAAGCAACCAAAGTATGATTTTACAACCTAAGTCTTTGAGACGTAGAGGAAGGAGTATTGCTGAGCAGACGCCACGTCAGGAAGAGAGCTTTCTTTGTCCGTCAGCCACTGATGGTGTTGAGCAACGGGTTCAAAGTTAAAGCTAGCAATTAACAAAAGTTGAATCGAGTATAGACATGACCTTTAAATGTGGTAAATACACTGTCATTACATTTCCATCGCCATCAACTGTGTCTGTAGCTGCTGCAGGGTTGGGAATTTACATATTTTTTTGGGGGCAACTTTTGCCCCCACTGACTGAAATCCAGGGGCATTTTCAAAAAATTGGGGGCACTTTTTGAAACTTGTGAAATAACGTTTAACCTTTGTTCTAAATAATACATATACTTATTTATACTTACAGTATATGAGCAATTGTCATCAAATGGCAATAATAAGACTATTAGGCAGTAGTCTACAGATTCAAAGTGTTTTCTTAGTTTTTTTTTAACAAAAAACAAACATAAATCAGACAATCATATTCAATTTTATTCTTATTTCTTTGTGGTTATTTATTGTTATTAAATTTTTTAAACAACTATTAACAATTATTAAGTCAACGATGCCTTGATTACATATACATCAGTCATTGTATGGAATTATTGAGAAAAAATATTTTTGTAGCACCTCAAATGTTGTGATATTACTCATTTTTATCCTGAACTTATGCATTAGTCATTGTGTGGAATTTTTGAGAAAAACATTTTTATAGCGCCTTAAACATTTAAAAAATGTGCCTTTTGAAGGTACAAATTCAGTTCAGAGTTTTTACTTAGTAAAATACCTTAATTGACAGTCAGGTATTATTCATTAGCAACCCTCAAATCAAAGAATAAAGACACTTTACGCACAATTTAGGTGTATTTTACCTTTAACTCACGAGATGCAGGTAGCATGTTTTATACTTAATGTGAATATAATTAATTTAATCTAATTTCCATTGTGCAATATGTATACTTTGTTGGCATCTTATTCTGAAAACCGGATGTTCGTCTGAAGAAACCGGATGTTGTCTTTCCGCTAGCTTTCAAAGTCCTTCGCTCGCTCCCGATCTGCGCCGTTTGAATGAGTTTACCGTGAATTTCAGGATATAGGTGCACTAAAGTGTAAGTGTCTGCTGAGTTGACCGCAGTCTCGCAGTCACAGGTCTGATTAAGAAGCGCTCCATTTATTTATTCGTTTAGAAAGTTCGGGGGCATTTTTTGCCCCTCTCCTAGTGATATCAGGCAAGGCAAGTTTATTTGTATAGCACATTTCAACAACAAGGTAATTCAAAGTGCTTCACATAAAACCATCAAAAGCATCAAAACATAAGGCAAAAGAAAAGGAGATTTAAAAACAATTAAGAACATTAATTGAAACAATAAAAACAGTGTAAGAAATAAAATACAGTCGTAAAATGCAGAAATGCAGGAAATTGATTAATATATTAATTGAATCTGGTTCAATTAAAGGCAGCAGCAAACAGAAAAGTCTTCAATCTTGATTTAAAGGAGCTGAGGGTCTCAGCAGACCTGCAGCTTTCTGGGACTTTGTTCCAGATATGTGGAGCAGAAAAACTGAACGCTGCTTCTCCATGTTTAGTTCTGACTCTGGGAACAGAAAGTAGACCAGTCCCAGTCGACCTAAGGGGTCGGGATGGTTCATCAGGGGCAAAATGATATTTCTTAGGGCCAGTTTTGCCCTTTGCCCTCGTGTATTTCCGACGCTGAGCTGCTGTTAGTTTCCCTCATGATGCCACCTCAGGCTTGAATATTAAATTAAGTAAATAAAACGTTATCATTTCCACATAGGTTTGAATCTGACCCATGATTCTCCAGCAGCGTAGCTCTAAAGATGCTCGTCTGTGCTTCGGTCTCTTTTTTCTTCTTTGGTTGAGACTGAAATATCTCAACAGCTTTTGGATGCATTGATATGAGAATTTCTGCAGACATTCATGGTCCCCAGAAGATGAAGTTTCCCAATTTTACTGATCCCTTGACTTTTTCCTCCAGTGCCACCATGACTTTTGCCATGTGTGAATATTGGACTTTCGTTTCTCTGCTGGCCAGAAACACGACTCTAAACTAAATGCTATTGTTGCCGTGTTATTACTGGATGTGTAGATAAGCCACTGTTTCCAACACGTTTGCCAAAACAACTTTATAAGGTGATAATATGTCAGTTTATTTTGCTACAGCTCAATTCCACTGCCAAAAGCAGCCAAAATACCCAAATACAACAACTTTAAGTATATTTTAATGAGATATTTTAGTGTTTAAACACCACATTGTTTTAAATTAGACACTAGTTTGAAATTAATTTCCAAGGGTAGCTCACTGCTGCGCTGAGCTCTTTGTTTTTCGTGCGTCCTCTGAGTGGTTTGGTCGCTGAGCGTCCGTGGCGTCTTGGCTCTCCAGGCCATGCCGAAATTTAAATAAACATTCCTATTCTGGGATTTCATGCCCAACCTGGTTTAGATCATATCAAACTTTTTTTTAAACCCTGCAAATCTACTTTTCTAACTGAAATGACCCGCCTCCCGAAGCCATGGGCAGGTATATTTCAGGACCAGTTAACCCTCCGACATATGTTTCCCATCACCATTTCAAATTTCCTATGGCTTTCCTGTTATTTTAACGGGTACAACAACTGTATCTCCATGCCAAAATCAGCCTGGATGTTTATTTCCTGTGTGTGTGAAATTGTAAGACCGGGCTGTAATTAGAGGCACAACAACAAAGATGAATGTTAAACAGACGCGGTGGACACGGCGTCCTATCCGGTTGCCTCATGTCTCTCATGCGCCACGGTCGAAGACGACTGGAAAGATCAGGACCGAAATGTGCTGCTTCTTTGTGCAAAAAAAGCTTTTACGATTCTTGGCCACACGTCGGCCTTTGACTCAATTTGCAGCGTAATGGAATTTGAGTTGGCTCGTGTCTGATCGCTGTCCCCGGCTTTTTGCATGCGACATGATTTTCGTGCTAGTTCAGAAGTATGAAGGAGCCCAGAAACTGTTTATTTTGCGTAATCTCCTCCATTTTGTTCTAATAAGCTTCTAATTACAGTTGATGGAAGTTGGCCACTCAGTTGCGAACTCCCTAAATGTGTTTGGATTTATGTCGGTTTATAATCATAAAATCTGTCATGGCAGGAAAGCAGGTGGGTGTGCTCTCACACTAAATGATTGAAGAAGTGGCTGAAAGAAAAAGCAGAAGCCTCTTGACCTTTTGTGCGCTGAAGTCAATCTGTCACTCGACATCAGAAGCATTAGGACAGCGGCGCTGCAGCTCTTGCTTTATGTGTTATCACTCAGGATTTTGCAACAAGCACAATGTCAACTGCATGTTTAACATCAGGCTACCTCCGTCTCACAGGAGCTGGATGTCATCCCAGATCTGATGGGAGAAAACGCCAGGTGTCTGTTAAAGGAGTGGAACTTCATCCAGCTTTCTGTAAGTTCCCATTTTAAGCTCCGCTTTTCTTAGAAATGAAAACATGTCGGCGTATATATTCATCTGTTCTGACTAAAGGAGAGTCGAGACTCTAAAAGCTTCTAGCGTACGTTTTTATCTTGTTGGTCATCGTGGAGAAAAATATCATTTTTGCTCCAAAAGTTCTTATCTAGTTTTTGATTTCCTCGGCCTCCAGGTCAATTGTTCTTTCCTGTCTGACGTGGAAGCGATGCTGACGGATTTGGAGGCAGCGAATCGGGCTCTTCTCCACCCGCTGGTCGTCATTTGGGTGAGTTCATACCCGAATACTGCAGCCACGATTATGCAGCAAAGACTTCTCAGACTCGCTGGAGGCTCTGTGAGGCTGAGACATGAATACTTGTACCAAATTTCATGGCAATTCATCTAAAATGTTGTTGGTTTCACTCAAAACCACAAAAATGAACCTCATGGTGGCTCTAGATGAAAGGTCAAGGCTTCACCAAAGTCAGTAGAAGGCCATTCATTTCATGGCAATTCATCCAGTAGTTGAATTATTTCAGTCTGGACCAAAGTGACGTACTGACTGACGGACCGTTGCTGCCACCAAAGAGTCCACATGTATCCTACACTCTCTGGACTGCACTCCTTGTTGTCTGAAGGACCGATTTGTAAACCAGTGAAGAAGAATAAATGCATAGATGATGAGTTACAGGAACTATCAGCACAGCAACTCTGGCATGCAAAGTTACAGGGAGAAGACTTGAATGCGTAAAAGCCGATCTCAACTTCTTAAATTTGGACCGCTGCCCAGATAACACTTGGTAATGAGGCAAACAGAACCTAGAAAGTCTTCTCTCTGTGAGTCTGTAATGTGTGTTTTAACCAGAAAAATGTAATAAGTGCAAATGTCGCACAGCATTAGTCGATTAAACCACTGCCTTGATTTGTGTTTTGTACGCTAGAGTCCCAATAAGCTGTTAGTCACCATACAACAGGTTTCATTAGTACAGGACTTGTCGAAATGACACCAGACCAAAAGCATCGATGTAAATCTTACTTACTTAATACTTTCATTCTTCACTTGAAAAGGAAACTTGGCAGTGAAGACAGTCTCCAAAAATGTGCAAAGAGGTGGATCGTATGTGGAGATAAGGGGGCCCGGGTGACGCAGCAGAGAAGAGAGCTGGCCGTCTGTCACTCAAAGCAACCACGCACTCAATTAGGCCTAAAATAATAAAATAATTAACTACAGCTTTTGGCACTTCCCCATTGACTTCATTTCTTAGCACCGGAGGAGGCTCAGTTGGTCTCTTGTACTTAAAAAATTCTGTGACGGTCTTATTTAAGATTATTTATTTTATTTTCTTGTTTTTTTATTGTAATATTGTATATTTATAGTTTATATTCCTTTAAACATGTAAATAATAATAGAATATGTAAATATTTTTTTTCATCTTAGATTATTCCACAATATTTACTAAACAGCTGAGAGATAATAGCTCTGTTTCTATTTAAGGAAGAATAACTTCTTACACCTTTATTATTTCTATAAGTTATGAGAGATTATTATTCCATAAACTATAAGTATAAGTTGTTATTAACGTCGGCAGTGGTGGAACAGCCTGCATCGGGTTTCCAGACCTTCAGTAAGTGTATAAAGAGCAACTGTGTCTGTGTGTACTGGAAGTGGAACACGTCTTACTGTCGTTTCCCACACTTTGAATGAACTTTTCTTTTGAGCGTTCTTGAATACAGATATCTGGTGGAGGACGGATTGAGTTTCTTCGAGGTACATGTACTACACGGTCAATCTTTGTCTTTTTTTTTTGCGGTTGTAAAAACGTCACCTGTCGTCCGCCTCATGTGTCCTGATGAGCTACGTAGCTGTTTGAAAACCGTACACCTCGAAGGAGAGCGCCGCTCGGCCTCGCTTACCATTCACCGACATCCCCCTCTAACAGAGTAACACTGACCTAAGAGCTCCCAGGGACAAAACCCTAAAACAAACTGATCAAATCTGATCCAAGAACCATTTCAATATTTGTAAAAAGGCCTCAAAACCCTCTCTTTTAATTTAGAAAATTGTCCTCTTCAACTAACACGGAGAGCAGGTATCAAAACAATGAAAAAAATAAACCTACAGAGGGCCGACTTCTACCACAAACAAGTCTCAATCACTGCAAATGTCACGCAGCATTTCTTCATTTTCTTATTTGTTGTATCAAGTTTTCAATAAAGATTGGAACACACACACACACACGTGTAATCACACAGACTGAAGCTGGGTTTTAGTGGGATCGACTCCCTAAAAAAGCATGTCAGAGTTCCCACAGCTCCCACTTTCAACATGTTTCTGTTCTACAGACCGTTTCAACAGAATTGGGTCCATGTTGACTCCCTGTAGGCTGATGTCATTGACGTACACGGCAATAAGGAATATATATATAAAAGAAGAAAGGGTCATCACGTCATTGTGACACCATTTCTAATTGTGTACAGGTATAAAGTAATTTACAGACAGATAAAATGTAACCTGCCAATAACAGGACACATTATCGTTAGCTAATAATGAGTTGGCTAACGTTAGCCCTCCTGGACAACCAACCATTAAACTGTGAATGATGATTAATAATATTCAGTGGGACTGATGTAATCCAGCTCTTTCTATCATTGTCAAGAGGTGGCGCCAATTGGCAAATCTTTTTAATGTCATAAATCTGGACCTTCATACCAGTGTTGCGATGAATTAAGTGAGCTTTTTGCAGTTTGTTTAGCTAAAGTTAGCCAGCAATATCTCTGTTGACATGTCCTATTTGGAGATAAAACCGTTATCGTTTGTAAGAAATAATCCTTGTGAAGGTGTAAAAGAAACAGACAGAGCTGCAGTGTTGGTGAGTGAAACTTTACAGCCTCTCCAGCTTAATCGCTGTCATGATTTGTAAGTATGCTAGCGAATAATATAGCTAGCATACTCGTACACATACTTGGCTAGATGACTGCAGGCTTTGTAGCATACGGTTAAGTCCTTTATTTACCTTATGTTGACAGGCCCACCAGTTATAATCAGAGCCATGAATATATTGATCTGGTTATAATTGCATTCTGGTCAGTGATCATGGTTTGGTTATGTGTCATGATGCAGCTGCTGGACAAGGCCATGATCTGTTTGGAGACCACAAATAAGACACAGAAGAAAGAAAAGAAACAGCAAACGAAATCACATGTGTTTTTTGTATTTTTATGTGGTGGAAACATTTTTCAGTCCAGTGAGAAACAACATGGAGATGATGGTTTATAGCGGGACTACTGAAAAAACTACTCTGTCTGTAAAGTTTAAGACAAAGAGCATTTAAAGGAAAACATCCATTACCATATAGATCACACGGACGCTACGTTTCCCTCCCTGTATAACCTGATTTCATGGTCACGTTAGAATGTGTGTGAACTGTCTGGGAAGTTGTGACTACGAGAAACGAGAAGCAGCCCCCGAGTTTCACGGTTGTAAGTGATCGGGCTTAGTTCGGCACCAACGTGTTCTTCTTGCCTTTTGTTTTTGCAGGCGGCTGTTTTAAGATTGCTCACGTACCGCGTTAGTTATCGCAGCTTTGATCACATGGAAGCGATCAGTGGAGGCGTAATTGAGTTTGAAGTGTAGTAGGTAGCCTGGAGGGCAGAGAAGCAGACTGGTTGATGGAAATGAGGTGCGATGGCCTTGAGCATTGGATTTAAACAAAGAGACCCATGTTGTTGACATTAGCACCTTATGTCTCGTGTTGTTAGGTGTCATAAATCTGTGATTGATGTCTGTTCCAGGAGTTTTTTCTATTATGTAGCAGACACTTTTTTTCTTAGTAATTGGCGGTTAAAATAACATGTCGGGACACCTCAAACTTATTTCTGGATGACAGGTTAACCACAGAGCAACAATTCTTGTGTTTTACACTGTGTTAGCATTTATTTTAAGGGTGAAACCCTTAAAATAAGGGTGTAGTTTGACGGGTTACGAACAAACTTTATTCCCAAAAGAAACTAAATGAATGATGGTTTGAACACTGTCGCCCTTCCTTTTCATTGATAAATGCTCATTGTAAAAGTGCAATAGTGCACTCCACCCTGTTCATTGTTTTCTTCTATTGGGACACCGTGTCGTGCAAGTTCCCACTGACCTGTGTGGCCTTCTTTGACTTAAGTTAGTGTATGTTTTTTAAGTTTTGTGCGCATCGCCTGCTAGCAAAAGCCAGCTCTAATAACAGAACACGTCTTGTGGAAGCATTTCATTCTGGTCTTTTGAGTCTACTGATGGTGGAAAGTTTGTTATTTCTCTTCTTCTATGGTGGATGTCCTGATGGTGATATTTTCTATGATTATACTCTGTAGTAGTCGCTGTATAAATATCTTAATGTATTTTCTTGTCTTACTTCATAATGATAAGTTGAAGCAGAAAAATTGTAGTTCTGAAAAGTGAAGCCGATGCTGAAGTGTGTTAAAGCTGCATTCTCTCTACTGACCAGCAGGGGGCGACTCCTCTGTTTGTATAGAAGTCTATGAGAAAATGACTCTACTTCTCTCTTGATTTATTACCTCAGTAAACATGAGTTTATGGTCTCAATCTCTAGTTTCAAGTCTTCTTCAATACAGCATGATGTTCATTTAGTAAGTTATGGTCCATTTAGAGTCAAACAGACCATAAAGCAGGGGATGCTTTAGGGCGGGTTTACTGTGATTGACAGATCCCTACCACGGCATTGTCCGGACTACATCCACTTCTTAAATACAGTCTGTGCTATTGCTACTTTAAGAAGACCACCACAACAAAAAACATGTTTGATGTATTAATTTATGCTGTACATGATGTACATGTGTCAGTTTGTTTTGGAACAGAGTTATTCATGTTGTGGGTAAAAGTATCACTGTCAGCGTTTCAGACGACTCGTAGCCTCGAGGTTCAACACCTTCTAATGTGCTGAATAATCACTCTTCAAACTGAACATCACCTGTTGAAGTATAAGTGTAATAATTGCATGTTCAGACACATTTTAAATGATTCTCCAGACTATCGCATCTCAATGCTGCAGTGTTTTACGGATATATGACAAAATAATTGCAGTGAATAAATCTTGAGTTAAGTTTCTGACAGCGGGGCGGTTATGGAAATCGGCTACGTTTTGGATAAGGGATGACACGGTAATGTGAACCTATGTGTCTGGGTCATGCTGCCCTAATTAAGGAAAATAAACCACAGAGGCCCTACAGATTTACGGCTGAATTAGAGAATCATTATATCCTCAGACAGGACTGTGCATCAACCAACCTCTGTTTACTCTCAGCACAGCAGAGCTTCTCCGAACGCAACCTTAGATAAACAGGCCTGTTGAGTTGCAACATGTTTAAACGACTGCGTGGACAATAAGCTGTAATTGCTCCAAAAAAAAAAAAGGGGGTATAATTGTTGCTCTTGTAAGAGATCCTCTCTATTGGCAAGCGTTTGATTTGGGCGCCGTGACTTTTGTTTTTATAGGTGCATTTGAGTGATTCAGATGAGCTGTCCGTCAGCGGGACAGTGGCTATCATGGATCTGGCCTCAGCAGCTAAGCTCCGAAATATTCTCCTCTACGGCATCCAGCTTCATCAGTCAAAGGTAAGCTCTTGGTCGTTCCCCGTCTTTCTTTTCTTTCTTCCTGATGTCGACGGCAGTCGCTGTGCTGCGAGAGGCCAAACAAAACAGAATGGTTAATGTCTTTCAAGTGTCTCGTTCCAATGACTTGTCATGCTTTTATGCTTCAGGCGAGGTTGTCTTTTATCACACGTGTGTGTGTGTGTGCTTGGACGGGTGTGTCTATTTTTTAGATGAAGGAGCGGGAATAAAAGTGTGCCCGCAAGTGTGATTAAGAGGGCGGGATATCAACTTTTCACCTTCCGTCGTTCGTGTTGTGTAGTATTGTTCCAACTGAACGCCAGAGGGTTGAAAAGGATGCAGAGACGCTTCAGGTCTAAAGCAGCTCAACCCACCGCATGTGCAGTGTAGGTCGAACCCAGGCGGCAACCTCCGCTTCTCCCGATAGAAGCCGATGTGGAAGTGTCTAAAAACTTGCATTCTCTCTACTGACCAGCAGGGGGCGACTCCTCTGGTTGTATAGAAGTCTATGAGAAAATGACTCTACTTCTCTCTTGATTTATTACCTCAGTAAACATGAGTTTATGGTCTCAATCTCTAGTTTCAAGTCTTCTTCAATACAGCATGGTGTTCATTTAGTACATTATGGTCCATTTAGAGTCAAACAGACCATAAAGCAGGGGATGCTTTAGGGCGGGGCTTACTGTGATTGACAGGTCGCTGCCTCCACCAGAGAAGTACACGGCCTCTCTACGTCACTCCTCCGCATTCTAAATATGTCACTTCCGTTCTTTGGTGACAACATGGCGACGGCTGTAATCCAAGGTGATGACCGAACTCAAGGCTTGACAATGTCCACTTCTTATATGCACTCTATGGTCGAACCTCCTCAGTTACGCTGTGTGTCATGGGAATCTGCTGCTGAGGGACCGCCAAGTGTGCGCCGGAGTCATCGGGGTGGATGCGGTTGACCTGAAATCCACAACTGACTGCTCAGTAATTATAGGATTATATAAAATGTAATTATTCATCCAGTGCAGTGAGAGGTGTCGGGATTCTTGCTACCAAAGCCGTCAAGTCAAATCACAACATTTGGGCCAGACGTGCGTGGCGAACCCGAAGACGGATGCTGAATATTCATTGTGTTGTTGGCCTTCAATGTGACATCCATCATGATTTATGTTCACGTCTGACTGCAGCAGTGTGATAAATGAGGTTTCTTGGCAGCTGCGTCACTTCACAAATCAACTATATCAGCCCGTGTGCTTCAGGCGAGGCGATGCCGGCTTTACTCTCTGCTGCAGAAGAGAACGGTGAGCTGAAGGAATCTCTGGTCAGTGAATCTGCATCATGCGTTTTAAACTCTATCACAGCCTCACCTTATTAAAATGAGATGTTTTGTATTCTCGATAGCGAGGCACGGCGCTGCTGGCCCACATGTGGGTTTGATTCAGCTATCGGATGTTGGACATCATGGTTTTCCTCTGAATTATGGAACTAATGCTGTTAATTAGTCATCCTGCTTGGACGGAGAAAAGGGGAAGGGAGTGGACGGAGATAATGCGTGTGTTCGCCATGATAAAATGCTTATCGTTATGAGATAGTGGAGCAGTAGTATACAGGCTTGTATAAATCACTGTTCGTTATTTGTTATAATGAGGATAATTCTTCCCAGATGGCCTTATTCATACTTGCGGGGATGCCTGCCAACACTTCCTCTGTCAGCCGTACACTATATATGAATATTGCCTCACAAAGTTTGTTTTATTTCTTTGGCTTTGATTAAAAAAAGATTTGACGGCAGGCAATAATGCACACAAAGCAAACATTTTCATGCAATCAGTCTGATTGGTGAAAGATGCTTTTTAGTTTTTGTCCACAGTGTTTGTTGTTTTAGTTAAACCAGCCCTATGTAAACCGTAAACATCTGATGCGATGGCGCTGTGATTATATGAGCAGCAATGTAACTGAGGCACATATTTATAATTAAATTCAAAATGTTCAACATCCAGTGGGATGAGGTTACGTTCAGATTGGGCACATGAAGGCATGTCGTGTGTTTTCCCCATGACAAAACACATATTCTGTTCCCTACAAGGAAAGGTCATGTTTTGCTGTTTGGAAGTCTTTATAAAGAGGAAAAAACATTTGGTTATGTTGCTGTTTTCAACATGTGTTCTTCCTGTGACATTTGACAGTTCACTCGGTATCAATAAACTCAATTAAGATGTTACTTCAATATATACTGTAGTTTAAAAAAAGTTTCATTTTCCCCCTTTATCTGTGTGTGTGTGGCTTTGTGCGCTTGTGTGTATGTGTACCAGCTTTAGCACTACTGAGAATGAAATGACAAAAAGTCAATCTGTCTCTCTCCACATCATTATCCTTATCATGTTGTCAAACATCCACCAAATTAGGGCTTTTCCCCTAAAAGACCCAAAGTTGACTCAACATTTTTTATTTATTTTTTGCTGTGCCATTGTACACAAAGCAGTGCAGGAGCAACAACACGGTAAGGCCTTCACACACCCGGGGCGTGACGAATGGACGACAATTTTAAATACTCGCCTGTGAATATTATATGTCAAGGGCTTTTATTGTGAAAGGTAATAACGGAAAGAGTGGCTGTGGTCTGCGGTGCCTTTGTCAAGGTTGAAAGAAGTAATAAAGTTTGCCGTCTTGATTCAGACTGCAGAGCCTCTCAGGCGCAATTTAACCAGTTCTGCACAACGTGATTGGCTAATGTCTTTATTTGCGATGCATAATTTCGCCACTTTTTCGTCTCATAATATTCGTCTTCTGTGTGAAAGTGTGCATGTCGAAAACAACACTTCGAAACCACCCCCTGGTGTGTAAAGGCAATAATCTTGAGTGTTTATATACATCAAAGGGATCATGTTTCAATTGAATTACACTTTCTGAGATCAGGTTTGAATCCCAGTGAGTGTCTTACATACTATAATCACTACTCACAATGCTTCATAATACTTCATTCACACTTCACTGAAAGAACAAGTTAGTTGTGAATCATCAGGCGGCCATTGTAGGAACACTGAACTGGGTAATTGTAATGAGAAATGTGCTCCGTTTTAAGCCGGCCTGTTTGAGGTGTTATGTCTTATGAATGAATGAATGTTTACTTTTCTGGATTTAACTGCAAAGTTACCATGACCAAGACATGCTGCTGCCAGTATATCATATTTTAATATTATAACCAGAGCTGCATGTCACTGGAAATATTTAGAATCCAGCAAAACATTTTCCGAATTAAAAAATGAGTCCATGTCCCAAAGCAATAGCTGTTCTTGTGTCTCCGTGTTTATGTTTTCAGGCAACAGTCTAAAGGTGATTTGATTTTTAATGCAACTAGACGAGGGTTGTTGGACGTTCTTTTAAAGTTGCTATGAGGAACTTTTAACTGGTTATGAAACAGTCTTGATTTAATCGTGATGCCTCGATATGAACTACATGAGTAAACAAGACCATCATTGAGAACATTGGCTATTTCTTAACGCTTGTCATCGGTGCCACTGGTTGGGTTCTGGCGAAATCGTGCAGGTTCACCAGAAACTGACAGTATAACAAGGTATGACATAAATACTTTGTATGTTTTCCTTTTTCTTTTTTATACAAAACCTTGTTAAAGATGTTCAGCCATAAACTCCGAGTCCCTTTCGTTCCTCCCTAAATGATTTCATTCTCTGCTCTGACACGACTGCTTGTTGTCAACTGGACACCAGTGAGAAGAACACCCGTTTAGAACATTCATGTTCCCCTTCCCTCTCGTTATGCATCACTCTGAGGAATTACTGGACGCGCCCACCTCTTCGGAAAAGTACGGCCATTTGGCCAATCTAATTTTAACCTCTGACGGTGTGAATGCATGAGCGCATGGAACAGCGTTCGTCGCAGAGAGGTTGGGAAAACGATCCACCTCATTGACCTTTAGTGGTGTCTTTTTGGATAAAAAAGTGGATTCTCTGAAATGAGGCCTGACTGTGGTTTCACGTTATTCAGAGTAACACTGAACCGCTGGGGCAGAGTGCATCCAGCAGCGCGTCGCCGTGCGTGCCGCTTCGCTTTGTGGAGAGAAGAGAGGGAAATGGAGTCACGGACAATAAACAGCGGCCTCTCTGGGAAAAAAAGGACGTGTGATCAAAGCACTTCTATAGAGCCTCTTTCCGTTTGTGTTGTTGCCTCTGTGAAGATGCCCACGAGCCAAACATCAGGTGCAATAATGTGTGAAAACATCAAACCTAAAGACGGTGGCTGAGGATGCGCAGACACCGGATCCTCATAAACTGACTCGATGTTGTGAAAACGATGACGGTATACGCTATCAGTGTCTGCCGTGGCGATAGGAAGTGTCATCGGATCCCTCCTCGCACAGGGTCCCGGCGACTTGTCATCCGCTGAAAAGGGACTTGTCACAGTGATATATGGGTGTTGTAATCCCTGCAGTGAGAGCCCTGATGTTTACCCAACCCCATATTTCCTCCTCCTCAAAGAGCCCGGACCGGGAATCCTAAACCTGAGAAGAGATTAGTCGGCCAGGGAAGAAAAGAGAGGGAGAGAAAGGAGAGGAGGGAGGAAGGGGGGGAGGAAGAAAAGGAGAGGTCTCTATAGGTCTATTCTCCTCTACCTGTTCAGATCTGGGTCTGAAAGGCAGACAGGTGAAACCAAACACGACCCCGTGAAGCTCTTGCGGTGACACTTGTGGAGTTGCACCCTTGCCGGGGTCAAGGGAGATCAGGGAAGTCTGTCGTCCCTGTGGCTTCAGCACACTCCAGACTTTTCTTAGGCTAAATCTGCCAGTTGTCCTCTGCTGAATAAAAGATCATAATGGGGAGGCACAACATTGCATGAAAGGAATCGGAGGCTACACAAAATATTAACTAAAGGGCTAATTTGATGCTACCGCTAGCTGTTGGGGCTAGTTCTGTCCTGTAACAAACATACGTTAGCATATCAGCTACATTACCATTTTCATCGTATCCCAGCCGCGGGGCTAACTCATATTGTCCTTTATTTGGATGTTGAGTTCGTCGATGCTGTGTTTCTCACACAATATTTGGTGTGAAAACAAATTGATGAGATGTTCCGCCATTTTGGCAGAATGCTACCTGGAGCTAAACCCGGAGGTGTTACATCACATGAAACATTTCATGGGCGGAAAATCCGCTGAAATCGAGGTCTGTCCGACTATTTTTCCCCTCCACGAATATTCCCCAGAGGTGTAAAAGCATTCATGAGAATCCACAAATCAGTTTTTTGTAAATTTGCAGGTGAATTTTTCAAACCAAAGTCTGTGCTCGGTGTGAAACGCCTTTAAGATTCTCAAGCTTCAGCCTCTGCGAGGCTGCACTTCAGCTAATACAAGCACCAGGATACGAACAACCTCACAATGACGATGTCAACATGCTGACGTTAAGCAGGTATATTAATGCCGATGTTTACCATCTTAGCTTAGCGTGTTATTAGCATGCTAATATTATTTGCTAATCAGCACTCAAAGTACTGTTGAGGCCGATGGAAACGTCATTTATTTTACTGATATTTGGTCATAAAGCAAAGAAATGGACCCATTTAAATGTTGACCCGTTGGTGCTAGATGAAAAGTTAAAACAATTTATCCTGAGGGGGACACAGATGTCAACCTCATAGTGGCGCTAAAGAAAAAGTAATTAAACATGAATGTCTGTACCAACTGTTGTCCCAAACTTTATATCATGGATTTAGAGATATTTCACTGTAAAAAGTAAGACTTTGTCCTGCTGGTGGCGCTAGATGAAGTCTGCGAATCACCAATGTCAGTAGAATTCATCATTTGGGGACCATGCATGTATGTACAATGTTTCATCTTAATCCATGCAATTGTTGATGAGATATTTGAGTTTGAACCAAAGTGTTGGACCGACTTGACATTTCTCTCCCTACGATAGAGCTATTACGGCTCAAAAGAGTGTTTGAGTGACTTTATAAAGTCATAAACAATGATTCACTGCAAAGTTCCATAACCGAAATCTGGCCCTTTTAGGTAATTCCCGTAAAATGAATTACGCACTCCTGGGGAATTTTCTAAATGAAGCACCAGGGGAAAATGATTTCTCCAGAGGTCTTTGTCCACTTTCTCACACTACATCTATCAGGAGACATGCGCAGCTTATCCCGTTCAGCTCCAGTATGGCAGACAGGTGAAACTCTACACAAGCAGCCGAGTCTCTTGCTGTGACACCCGTGTATTCGCACCCTGGCGGGGTCAAGATCACGGATGGCTGCCGTCTCTGCTGTCTCAGCACACTCCTGACCTTTCTCCTGAGTAAATCCAACAATTGTCTTCAGATGAATCAGTGACCGGTGTCATATTTTCTGGGATGAATGAGTGTTTGAACCTTTAATGTGCTCTGAGAGTCTTATCGTCATTCCGATGTCTAAAAAAAGAGGCGATCTCTACTAATGCGATTACTAAAACGCATGCATTAGCCTCTTTGGCTAGTCTAGTCTGATTGACAGCTGAGGAGAAATTTAAAGAAAGGAGGAAAAAACACTTAACAGAATGATTGTTTGATAAGTTAAAGCAAAACATTGCAGAAAGCAGCAAAGATCAGAAATGGCGTGGCATTTCGTGTTTCTTTCTTAGCGTCCAACATCCACCCGGCCCCGTCACACAGTTTTCCCCCTGCTGTTTGCCTAAGTACTTGTCTTTTTTCTAACAATTATGTCTTTACATTTTATCTAAGATCCCCCCCCCCCCCCCCCCCCTGGAAATGTGGACGAGAGCACTTGGCTCCCTCTGTAGAATCCTGACATCTCCATACAGACAGAAGCCCGAGGACCCCACCCACCCCTCCTCAGTGATGTATTTGTAGAGTGTTAGGGTCAGAGCCCTGGGAGAGACTCGCACTGCCACAACATGTGCAGGATATCAAGCTTGATCTTCCACACTGAGAGCGCTCCAGATGTGTGTCGGTATGTGTGAAACTTGACCGCCGGAGTTTGGCTCAAGGAATTAGACGTACTAAAGCGGTGTTTACTCAGCTTTGATTTCTTAGATTAAAGAAGACCAGCGAGCGCGCTGTTTGGGCTGATACGGCTTGACTTCGACTCATACAGACAATTTGGAAATGACATTCCAAGACAGAATTAGTGTTACAAACGGAGACGGTATGTTCTTATGGAGGATTAATGTGAGCCAGCTCTTCACAATTGGTTTGTAAACATTCAATCACTCAGAGAACAGGCAAAACATACGTGTATGTTTGTTTTGCCACTTGGTTTTGAGCTTTTTCTGACCACCCACAGGAGTCCTGGTTCGAGTTTTCCTCCAGCTCTTCGTTTTTTTTGTCGTGGGTGAGCCCGGCTCTGCAGGGATTACGCTTTCATTCAACAGGCCTCATCTAAGATTGTTTTTGCGGGCGCTCACCTTCCTGCTCAGCTTGTGCTTTTGTTTGCAGGGACCTCTCGGTACACATGCTTGTCTGATTGGGTGTGGTGGAAAATAGCTGCGGAATAGCACACAGTGGATTCAGACCAGGGAAAACACCACCAGATAGCCCAAAACGCTGGTCGAACTTTAACTAAGGCTGGTACATGTATTTGCTCCTCCAGTCACTTGGAGGGCATGTACATATTTTACTTTAAATCCTTGTCTGCAACAAACGGAAAGATGCGGCAGAACCCAAATTGGAGTCCAAAATATGTAGCTGAAAACATTTGAGGCACAAAATAGGCAATGCAGTAACAGAGTCTTGGTTCATATTTGATCAGCGCCGCCTCGTTTAACAGTTTGATCTGAGTTTTGCGAGCCTGCTGCCTTTGCTATGGACGGACCTCATTTTCATAGAGTTGAGGTTGTTGATCAGTCAACACTCACCATCATGCAAATCGGCGCTCGAGCACTCCGTGTGAACTGCTCAGAGACGCAAGCTGAGAGGCTCACTAATGCATCGCAGACACATTACAGATATCTAGCAGGCTAAATATCTGGACCTATTGAGGAGTCTTCTTGGGAGCGCGAGAAAACGTGGTTCGGGGACCAGACACACTCATTGGGGATTCCTCCTGATGAAAGACCCTTGTCGCCGGTCAGTCATGGAAAGACGACTACAAGACGGCAAGTTGTCTGGTGTGAACAGTACAGATATCTGATGACTTTGAAAGTTTTGTAGTGTGAACTTGGCTAAAATTACCAAAAGTGTGCAATTGACCACATCTGATTGGCATGGTTTAAAGGTTACAAACCGCAAACACAAAGTGTCCACATGGTCATGGTAATCATTTAGCCAGATTTTATGCTTGAGTTATAGTTCAGCCATTGAGACGACCCCCGCAACACTTAACGGATGTATCACGCATGATGTGGCAGCGTCCTGCTTTAATCGAATTCGCCACAGTAAATGTTTCACTTCACTATGTGATATAGAGCGACAATTGGCTCCACGTGGTGAAGGAGGAGGGGAACACCAGCTACAGTGTAGCTCACAGAGTGGCCTCAAAGCCATACAACCATAAATTCAGCTTTTGTTTGTTGGCTCGTTGCATAACCTTTGGAAATTTTGGGATAGTAAACGGTACCGAATCAGACTGAAAGCAAAACTCAACTGGAAGTTTATAAAATTATAAATAACCAGATTTCAAGGTAGGATTCAAGAACGTAAATCTGCTCTGGTATTTAACGTCCTTAAATGAATCTTCAGGTCATGAAGTGTCATGTGAAATTGATTTTTCTTCACAGTTTCTCGTA